TCAACATGACTGCATTTTTATCAGTGCCAACTACAGTTAAGAGTCACGTCTGCTTCAGCGACTTGCATTTTAACAGACCATCATGCATAATGCACAAGCGCAGCCTTAGATTGACATTGTCCAGTGTGGTTTTGACTGGTGACAGAAGAGGATCTGGGTTCCAGACAGCAAGATTTGACATTGGCTCACTTCCTGTCATTGACTGCGGGTCACATGGTGAGTGCGTGGGCGCTCGATAATGGAATGCGTTAAAAGGGTTAGGCTCCTTCCACCAGACACAGTGTCACATGCACACAAACGCACACTCACACTTACAGTCCTGCATGTATTCTCGAAAGAAGAGAAACTGCAGTTGTTTTCACATTCACAGCATATTGACACACCCTTCAAACTCCCAGATTATTATGAATGGAGTTCAGTTCCTGTTTAGGCACTCGGTTCATGGGAGCAACGGAACCGCCTCCTCTGTGAGCGAGACAAAGGTTCAGTGGTGCGGCAGTCAACAAAGTGTCATTCCTGTGCAAACTTAAGTGCATGGCGTGTACATGCGTACACCCACACACTGCGCGACATGTGCATCCAGCATTCACATTTTCCTTCTGTTATAAATCTTAGCGTGTGAATGGAACCTTTGCCATCCAATCAAATCACTCGCATACCATGCAAACATCCACACCCCTTTTGCAGCCTGGCTACTTCACTCAAGTATCTCACCCTTTCAAGTAAAGGGTAACGTTTGTGTATAGGAAGCCAAAAAACATTTTAGCTTGGAATCAGAAGCGTGACATCCGCTCATCAAACACCCTCAAAAGGCACTGGTGCGTGTGCCCACTTTCAGTTTTCATCGAAGAGTGGAAACGGTGCCTGTGAAGGTGTTTGTCAACGCGCTCGCCCTTTCAGGCAGAACCAAAGTCCATTTGTTAAAAATATACAGCGGTATTTATCGTCTGTATACCACTTGCCCGAGAGAGAAAGATATGTGAGCCTGTATCACAGTGGGCCAATGACACCCCATGTGGCCCCACTGTAACGACTGCACTACACACACACACACACACACACACACACACACACACACACACACACACACACACACACACACACACGCACACACACACACACACACACACACACACACACACACACGTGCCAATAATGTGGCCTTGATGTGGGCTGCTGTGCTGTGTCTGCTTTGAGTGCCTGCAGATGGAGGCCAAGGCTTCCAGTGAGCAGGAATGATGGTGAGGGGGAAGAGGGATCCACAAAAAGAGAAAAAGGTTTAGCTGCCAGGGCTTAAAAAACAAGTAGTCGACTATAATGCGATGATAGTTGAGTTGAAGGCGATTATTCGATGAGCTGTTATGGCACACCGGGGGGCTCAATAATCACCAAATCGAAACCTATAAATGGGAGTGTTAGCTAATAGTCCGCGTTAATAGTCCACGTTGCTCCAAAAAATTGGAAATTGGTTTGGTTTTACAAACCGCCTTGATTAAACAAATGCTGTTACCTGTATAGACTGTGGGAATTAAATGCGCCTTTTGACACACGTCAAAGAAAACATTGTACCACAAGGACATGACAGGATGATGAGAATGAAGATGAAAAGCTTGATGCTTACAGTCCAGTCAAGTAGAGCAGTGGCGAAATGGGGCAGCAGTCACCGCCTGGGAGACTGGAAATGGAAAAAGTGACATTTTCAAGTACAGCAAGAACCTCAAACGGGGGGCCTCGTTTGAGGTTGTGTCGCATGTGCGTGACTCAGCTTTGGCGCCCTGGTTCTTGGAAAACTGTCACGGCAGGTCACGTTGTCTTCCATCTGATAAAAAGCAAAAGAGCTGTGTTTTATGTGCTAATCAGTTTGAGTGTATTGATGAGAGTCACAGAACAAGTGAGTGGTTATTTGAGTCATAATTCATGATGACAATCCCGAGTTTCGGGCGAATTTATGAATTCTTCATTGCATCATATTGAAACAGCAAAGTACGTTATCTATCTATCCATCCATTTTCCGATTCACTTATCCTCACAAGGGTCGCAGGGGGTGATGCAGCCTATCAAAGCCGTCTTCGGGCATTAGGCGGGGGACACCCTGAACGGGTTGCCAGCCAATCGCAGGGCACACAGAGACAAACAACCATCCACGCTCACACTCACACCGAGGGACAATTTAGAGTGTTCAATCAGCCTGCCGTGCATGTTTTTGGAATGTGGGAGGAAACCGGAGTACCCGGAGAAAACCCACGCAGGCCCGGGGGAGAACATGCAAACTCCACACAGGGAGGCCGGAGGTGGAATTGAACCCAGTACCTCTGCAGTGTGAGGTCGACAACGCGCTAACCACTGGACCACCAGGCCGCCCCAAAGTACGTCATTTGAGCACTATTGTGACCATATACTAGGATTGTTCTGCTTCTTAGTTTCTCACCAAGTCAAAAGGTCACAGCATTTGTGTTTCTCAATATCTTTCTTTCTTGTCGAAGGAGAACTAAACTTACTGCATACATCACACATTTTATTTTTACGAGTGCATATTGCAGTACTTGCTGCTCCAGTTCTGTAAATATGAATCTTCACTTAAGGCCTCAAACAGAAAATAGTACTTCTGACTTGAATCGTGTATCTTTACAGCATCTTGAAACTAGCTGAAGAGAATGACAAATTGTCTTCAAGAATAACCAGTGGAAGTATTTTTTGACAGTCACATGATGCAAACCCCCACACCCAACAACAAAAAAAGAAATAGAAATTGACAACAAAGTGCCTTTAAGCAGTCATAGCTCGTCTCGAGGCATCACAAGATCAGAATTTAAGGAAATGCTAAATTATATTTATTTTCCAAACTATTATTGTATCAAACTGGATGTTGAAGCTATTCAGAGCAGTAAACACTGAAGTCACAAGTTAGAGAGAGAGAGAGAGAGAGAGAGAGAGAGAGAGAGAGAGAGAGAGAGAAACATGATTTCAGTTGGCCAACAAGCATGCAATGGAAATAGTTCTACTCTTTAGTTTTAGGTTCGTCTAAAAAAATGTTGATTTAACTCACACCGAAGTGCTCCAACGATGACTTGATGGCTCTTTACACGATTGGGATGATGCAATGCCTCCATCTATTGGTTAAGTTGCAACTCACAGAAAAAAAAATGTTGGCTCCCATCGCTATTTGGATGATACGCAGCCACATTTATCAATTGAACCAAACGATTTGTTCGTTTGACGCGTTGGATCACTGTCTAAAGGAAATTAACAACTTGATGAACCATATTTTCCTTCAGCTAAACCAAAACAAAACAGTGGTCAGTGACTTTCTCAAAAGTCAAACAAAAACAAAACATGAAACCATCAGATGTGTGACGTGCTTCAAAAGTCAAACAAAAACAAAACATGAAACCATCATCCTGTGATGTGTGACGTGCTAAAAAAATAATATAGTCACACACTCACACAGACTCACAAATCCAACCCCCCTTTGCGATCTCAACTTATCGTGGTGGAGGGGTTTGTGCATCCAAATTGTCCAAGGACTTAATATGTTGTCGGGGGGGTTATGCCCCTGGGTAGGGTCACCCAGGTTAAACGGCAACTAGGTGAGGGACTGGACGAAGCACGGATCAAATCACGTGACTCACCAGGGGCCCTTTCTGAAGCCAGGTGGGCCTTGATAGATAGAGCGCGTCTGGTGGACAGGCCTGCACCCATCAAGCGATGACCCGGTGGGATATAGTCCAGCCACTGGAGCCTCAAACATGTCGTCATGATATGGATGTGGTTAGAAAAAGAATCGTACATTGTTCCAGGTCATAGAAGTGGATTTAATTGGCAGTTGACAGTTGAACGGGGCGTCGTTTCAGCACATTCAGCGGACGCGCCCACAATGTTTGAGAGAAAAGGGATTGATGTGTTTGTCATTTTAACTCTCATTTGATATACCGGTACTTACCGATTTTTTTTTTTTAATTCAACTTTGGCAGGCTTGTTCACAACAATGTTTGTGTGGTGTGTCAACTTCAGAAAAGAAATGTTTATTTTCACCTTAAAGAGGTTTTAAGAATGTCACGATGTTACTTAAAACATAGCCTGTACAGTCAATAAAGGATTTATGCTGGCCTGGATTCCTGCAACAGTTATTTCAAATGGTTAAAAAAAAAAACCTCAAGAACTCCTGAACTTATACAGTACTGCAAACAGTAAATATTCATATCCGCACCACGTTGTTAATATTCTGATATTTCTGAGTGTACTCTGCAAATTGTGTGCGTGTGTGTCTGTTACAAAAATCGACACTCGTGATTGTTCATTTCTCTCCATGGTGCCATCACCAAATGGGGCGTTCATTTACACTGCCAACAATGGCTTCTTTCATAAGGTACGTGCCAAGTTTCATCACATATCCAATGACTACGTTACCCCTCACAATTTACAGCAAAAACTTACGGAATACAGATCTGCTCTTCTTATCTTTCTGTCTATTGATATTTTTCATTTCCTTGGGTGGAGGGCGGGGGGGGTCGTATAAACTTTATTTTTAAAAAGTTGTCAAGTCACATATCTCTTTCAGATGGACGAGGTTCTGCACCTTCAGGACAACCTGAAGGTCAGCGATGTGAACGCTTAATTAAGCAGAGCAATATCAGTTTTGCCGTTTCCCAAATCATGTCACAGCACGACCGCTTTATACCAAATTTTAGTCGTGTACTTCTAAGCTGTCTAACTGCTTTTTTTTTCCCTGCCCCTCCCGACACATGCACACACCTTAAGGGATTGATGTAAAAAGCTGGCGTTTTACCGTCAAGATTCAGGTTTCCAAGTCTGGCGTTGAAACTATTAATTTACACGCGCATGTCTCAGTTTCTGTGACGAAATGAAACCTCCAGCCTTAAGGCAGGACTATGTTTGTGTGTGTGTGTGGGGGGGGGGCATACTGTCCTTCCACTCAGGTGGACCTCTTCTTCTTCTTCCCCCACCTGATGTCACATGGGAGGAGCCTTGCTGCTGAAGCTAGCTCATCTCATTTCCCTGGCAAATGTAGTCACCACAACCAGTCGCACTTCTCTACTCCCTCCTCAATCATCACTATACCGCCTCCCTTGTTTATTTCTCATTCCTCACAAGTCCCAAGAGGATAAGATGTCATGGAGGCCATGGGGGGAATGGTACTTCACATCTGCTTGCTGCTGGTCCTGCTAACAGGTGAGCGCTGCTGATGGGATGATGTGATGGATGAAAAAGGGTAACATGTAGGAAGATTTAATTTTTATTATTATTATTATTATTTATTTTTATTTTTTTAGAAGTGAGAATATGTTAAATGAGACATTTGTCTGCAGCAATTACACGGATCCGAGATGCAGTCTTGGTATATTTTTTTTAATGTTTAGTTTAAAATGAAAATATAACATGAACAATACAAAAAGAACATTCAGAACCAAAACGCACCCAAAAGGGCATTCTCTCACCTCTTGTCACCATTAAAAAAAAAAAAGCAGCTTTATAAGTTACTCTAATTGGAATATGTCTTCAGTAAATTGTGTGATGTGGATCTTGTTTATTGACACATTCTTTTCATCCATAATCCTCATTGTGTAACTTCGCTTTTTGAATGTTGCCAGCTCGAGAATAATTTTTCAAAAGGCAGTGGAAACAAGAAGTGGGCAACACCACTGCTCTGTGACTCATTTTGAGACAACCTTACCCAAACACAACATCTAAAATTAACCGCTACATCCTTAAGGAGATGTGTTTGTCTTATCTTTGAGCAAGGTGGGAGACCTAAACTTGCTTTTGGACACGCACTGGCTGACTTTATTTAGTATCCAAACAACTTACTTGGTTGTGAAGGTGATAAGAGGCAGGTGTGAGTATGTATGGGCCTTCACTCGCAATTGTTTGGAAGTGCATGTATGCCCTTCCTTACCTTGAGTGTTTGTGTGTGTGTGTGTGTGTGTGTGTGTGTGTGTGTGTGTGTGTGTGTGTGTGTGTGTGTGTGTGTGTGTGTGTGTGCGTGCGTGCACAAGCTTTACCATCACTGCAGCAGTGTATGACCACAACAATGACCACTTTGTTTGGGGCAACAGTTAAGCAGCGGGCTCGGCACACTTCTCCTCATTTTGTCTTTTCAGTGTGTCCCAGCTGGTGTAAATGAAGGCACACGCCTGCTTGTGACAACACACACACACTCACACAAAACACAGAAACTCGCCTGCAGGCCTGGGAGAGTTGAACGTGTTGCAAGGGTGTGGGTGCCGCATCTATTATTTAGCACATAACGGCTAGCAGAGTAGTTAAAGTCATTGTGATAAGGAGCATGGAAACATGGAGTAACAGGAGGAAGTAGCATTTGGTCGGAAAGGAGGTGTGTGTGTGTGTGTGTGTGTGTGTGTGTGTGTGTGTGTGTGTGTGTGTGTGTGTGTGTGTGTGTGTGTGAAACTTACAACTTTTTACACAGTATTTATTTTTGAGATTTATTTACAACGGGAAATGGCTTAAGTGAGCACATAATAACAATAATTTCATCTCTTGGATCGAGAATGACTTCTGATTCTGTGTATATCAAACGTTTACCTAATTTTAACCTCACTACAAGCACACCAACCTGCTCTGATTAGATTTGAAGGACAGATAAGCTTAACTTGCAAATTGGATTTTCCATGTCAAATTGAAACTCCTGCCATTTGCATTCGATCTGCGTGAAGGGTGTTTGAATAGTGATGACTTTTTAATGATTACCTCTCCTCATCCAAACTTAGCGCGTTATTTTGGCGCAAGATTTGACAGCTATAATTATTATTTTTTTCATGATGAAAAAGTTTCGATTCTTTGAAAAACACAAATTGGAATCTCACTTTGGAAGTGATTTTAAGCTAATGTTAGCTGATTAATTATTATCATTTTATGTTTGAGCATCATATCATTTCATGTTAAGAATACCTACATTATATTCTGTTGTTTAATAATTGCTTAGACGTGTTTTATGTTGATAGCTTCTGATTGGCTGAAGAAAAGAAAAGCAGGAAGTGTTTTAATTGCCGAGAAGAGTGTGTTCTCGATCGTACAGACTTCTTTTCAATAAAGTGGCGTTCAAACGGAATCCATCTCTCCTTTTGCCGTTTCGTAAAGTAGAGCCATCCATTCAAAAACAACGAACCCCTCAACTTACATGACCACCAAGCAGAGAATGTGCCTTTATGGCTAATGCTAGCCTTCAAATAAGCACATGGTGGACCTTCACTTTACAACTTAATGCAGTTAGTTAGCAAACCGACTATGCCCTGCTTAAAAATGTATTTTGAATTTCAGAAAGTTCTCAGTTGAGTTTCTCTGTGACATAGTTCAGCTCAATGACATCAAACTATACACATAATTATGTGTGTGTGTATATTCATATCTATAAAAATAATGAAAACCGTGAAAAGGATAGTTCGAAGATATCCCAATGTGAGCAAACAGTGAGAGTCTCTTTGCAAGTTAGTGGCTCACAGTACCGCCACCCCCTCACATGCTGTTTGCTCTCAGCCTGGCATCCAAACAGAAACTGAAAAACGACTTCATTCCACTTTTTCGACTTTACAAAAGAAAAAAAAAAGTGCGCCAAAAGCAATCAGTAATCGTGAAGATCCCCCCCTGCCAAAAGACACCAGCCATCTCAAATGAAATATTAATGATGCTTCTGTAACACAATGAAGGACAGGAAAAACCCCCCAGCAGATTTAATATGCGGGTCATATTAATTGTGCTGAACTTACAATGTCGGCATTGTTTGAAACACAATTTGTTGAAGTGAGAAGTTGTTGAGCATTGTGTTGACAAGCTTCCCTGGCAACTGCCCTCAACAGCAGACAGCGAGGTGCTACACATCAACAGTTATCCAGTGCCTTTAGACCGCCCGTGTGTTTGCTTTGTGTGGCGTGAGGTTGAAAGACAGGTCTTGTCCTTGTCAAACAACAATGACAGCAGTGACTTGTGTCAATATTAGCTCATTACAGTTTGAGGATCTGGACAACTTGGAGAAAAGGATAGAGATAGTCCAAATAACCTCTGAGACCAAGCCTATAGTCGTTGAGCAAGGCCCCATTAATGGTTTGACATGAGCAAGTTACACTCCCTGTTAGGCATTTCAGCACATTTCAATGAGGAGACATGAAATGCAAATTCTCACTTTCAGTTCTGATTAACCCAGTATGGGAAGTAGTGCACAGTACAGTGCTGTGTTGTTTCTCTTCAACCTGGAAATGATCATTCCGATGAAGAGATGTGTCTAAATGTAGACCCCCCCCCCTCCCCCCCGACAGAGAACGATGTTTCTTCGCAACATGTGTTGCCCAGTTTATATCATGTTTCTGATCAGTTTTTTTTTTTCCCTTTTGGGTCACGTGAGCTGTAGCTTGGCCCTGGAGGTGGGATATACCCTGAACTAGGCAATATCACAATGTCGTAGAATGAGATTTTCAAATTGCAAAGCATGCAATTATCACAAAAAAAAAACAAACAAAAAAAATATTTTGGTCGGATGGTAGGCTTTTTTTTTTTTTTTTTTATATATAATCACAATTGGAATATTGAGGGGAAAACATTGCAATAAGATGATTTTAAAAACTCGTCCAGCCCTACACTGGACTGTGTTCAGTGACTTTAAAAACCAAATCTTCTTCCTCATCTCACAGATGTCAGTGCAAGATTCATCCATGTCCCTTCATCAATACGCCACGGTATCGAGGGAAAGTCCCTCCGCCTGCCGGTTGAGATATACTTCCGTTTGGATGAGGTGGATATCCAGGGATCGTGGTCCCACACCACCACGAGCGGCAACAGGACCATTCTGGTGACATTTACCAAAGAGTCCTCCATTCCTAACATGATGTACCGCAACCGCATCTTTTTCAAAGAGCCCAATATGTCTTTGCTGATACGAATATTAAACCAGCGCGATGAAGGCGATTATCACCTCAACCTGAACATCGAGTTTCTCAACAAGTCGGGGCGGGTTTTCATAGAGGAGCACACAGTGCGTGTCACTGTGGATGGTGAGTTGACTTGAGTTTGATGCATCATTTCATGTCAGTTATTGTAGCAATCTCTAAATGCACACCGTTGTATTTGCTTCTCAGTTCCCGTATCCACGCCAGTAATCGAAAAGAGCCCATCTTATGCAGTCGTTGAAGACAAGGCCAACGTGACGTGGACATGTTCGGTGGAGAGAGGAACGAGAGTTGTGTTTCAGTGGTACAGAGACAATGTCCTTCTGGGTGTCAGTGACAGATATCACTTTTCCAAAGACAAGTCCACGCTACTGATCAGTCCCGTGAAAAAGGAGGACAAGGGAAGTTACCGCTGTGTGGCGAGCAACCCCGTCAGCCAGGAGAGATGCAGAAAGGCCTCGGAGCTCACCGTTTACTGTGAGTGGGCTTTCTCCTTCATCGGGTCCAATCTATGCCTTTCTTTGACAGTTGACCGTGTGCGAGTTTCGAGATGGTTGGAGATTGAATTTTCTGATGTATGACTTTTGTTTTCCCTGACCCATTTATATCCTCCCTAGATGGCCCGTACAACTTAGAGGTGAACTCTGACCAAGGCCTCCGCACAGGGGAGGTGTTCACCATCAACCCAGGAGAAGTGGTCTTCTTTGAGTGCCAGGCTGAATCCAACCCGCCCAACAGCTACGTGTGGCTCTCCAAGCGGCGCAACACGACGCGGGTCATCACCGAGGGCCCGCACTTGGAGGTTGTCTCCTACAAACTGGCCCAGGCTGAGGAGTACCTGTGCCGTGCCTTCAACAATGTCACGCAGAAGCAAGACGAGACCCAGTTTACCTTGGTGGTCGCCAGCCTTGGAACAGGTGGGTGGAAAATGACGAGAATCAAAAGCGCGGGGTGTTTCGGGGAATTGCGCGATAAACATTCAGTGAAATCAGATGAGGTTTTATTACGTGGAGGGCGACCAATTCCGCGCTTGGCAGGCAAGTGAAACCTGATTATGACTACTATGGCTCATGAACAGCGCATTTTTATCTCCGTTGCTAGGTTTCACTGCCTGGAGTCCGTATTAAAGTTCAGTGTGTGGGAAAGTAAACAGAGCATAACAGCTGTTGTATTTGTTGACGAAGTTTTATAGCATGCGGAGAGACTGTGTGCTGAATGGAACGTTGATATGTTGTCACGGTGATGGGGAGAAAAGGCTCAGCGATGGCTTATGCTGATTACTGGTTAGGGTTTAACTAGTGCACAGAAGCCGGGGTGACTTGAATTTCTTTTATTTTTATTTTTCATCAATGACTTACAACGACTAACTACTACAATTTGGATGACAACATTTTGCACTCTTTTTTTGTATGCAGCGGTACTCCAACCTTAGCCCCCTCCTGTTCCAAAGTCGGCTAATGCAGTCCAAATGCAGTATAAACATGAGTAATTTGTAGTCCCTCCCGTGTTTGTTTGCAGGAAAAGAGAAGCACACCCAGGATAATAATGCTGTCTCCCCGCTGGCTGTTATTACTTTGTGTTCTTTGTTCATCATCGGCAGCATGCTGCTGGTATTTTTTAGGAAAGCCTGTCACCCAAAAAGAGGTTAGATAGCCCTTTTTGCAACTCCCATACTCAGTTATCACGCATGATTCCACATTTTCTCGACTGCCTCATGTATTCATTTTTCATTTTCCCTCCTTCCATCTTATCCCGCAGTGCTCATGAGAATTTATAACAGGTAAGGACAAAAGCAAACTATTCAATGAAGTCATGCGATTCAAATACAGATTGGTATCATCTTCTACTTAGAACAACTTTTTTTTGCAGACCAATCTCTGATCAGAAACGACCACATCGATCAGGTAAGACGCTGCTTCTATCACAACTCTTCTGTACACACGTGTATTAGTCATTCTTTTTCATGACAGGTTCGGAATAAACCGATTAATGTTTCGGATCCCAGAAATTCAGTCACAGACAAAATGCGAATAACAAAAATGTTTATGATCAAAAACACAAAACAGAAAACGCTAGACACAAGGATCCAGGGGGGGGGGGGGGGGGAATGGGGAATTAACAAAAGGCGCTTGCAAACAAAAATAAATAAAGACAGACATGACATTTCACTCACTCTTAATTGTGGAGCTTGACCTTCCACATTGCAAAAATATGTTTCTCGAGTTAATTGGAGTCTTAAAATGAACTGTAAGTGTGAATGTGAGTGCAAATGATCATTTGTTAGCATTCTGCGATTGGGCAGTGGGCCAATCAGGGGTACACGTACGCTGCTGAAAGTCACTCACTTGTGACCCTAATGAGGATAAGCGGTACTGAAAATGAAAGGAAAGATGTTCTCCATGTCAACATTGTAACTAATTTCAAACTTTTATTTTCAGTTAAATAGATTGCACAGTATGTCATAGGCACATATGTTTAAAATATCAGCTGTATGAGACTTAAGCACGCCATACTGTCACATTCTGACAGTTTGAGTCAAGACGGGACTATCACCTCATGATCTAATTATAGAATATATTCATCAACAGGCCATGAAGATGCATCTGAAGACTTTGGCATCTATGAATTTGTCTCCATGCCTGGGAAAATTGAATCTGCACAAGTATGTTTTTTTTTTTCTTTTTCTCAAACCCACATTTGCCCCCAAAAGCAGCAAGAGCTGGTAAATGGATGTTTTTCTCCCTACTGTCCTGCAGGCATCATGCAGATCTCTGGCTCGGCTGGAGTCACTTCAGGATATGCACACCACAATCTACGATGTCATCAGACATGTTCCTGAAACCCCTGGGCAGAATTTTCTCAAGTGACTTTTAAGTCCTCGCCTTAAAAAATATGATTTGGGTATGTCTTGAGACTCTTGTCAAAGCCCAAGGCACTGCTTTTAGTGACTCACTGTTTGCACAAGAGCTGATAGAGACCTGTGCGAGTACACAATCTTATTGTGCACTGTTGTGGTCCACACTCCAGGACAGATAATTTATTTGACTGAGGTCATTTTGCTGTCATCCCATTTTTTTTTAAAACAGGATTTTCTTACATTTTCTACAGGAAATTTGTGTCAGAAAGACATTGCAAGAGAGAGAGAGAGAGAGAGAGAGAGAGAGAGAGAGAGAGAGAGAGAGAGAGAGAGAGAGAGAGAGAGAGAGAATCATATTTAAAACTTATTCCTTAATTGAAAAAAAAAATATTTAATGTGGTTTTAAAATACTGAGTTTAATGAGACTAGTGCTTTATTAAGTATTTTTGTAACTTATGGTAGTGAGTGAGGCGAAAAACTGTAAATACTGTTCATAGGTTATACTGAGATTCATTTATAATATGATTCCATTTCTAGGTTTCCTTAAGATCTGTTTATTCCTTTTTGAAACCTTTAACCCATTTTCTATACATGTAGCATTTGTCTGCACGGATAAAGATGAATGTCAAAAAGGGGAATGAATCCTTTTTAAATTAATGTACAGTTTGCATTTGTATCTCTGTTTTTTATTTGAATAAATATGACTACAGGTACATGACTTTTGTTTTTAACAACCCTTCAGGCTGAAAACAATCACTTTTGGTCTGGAAAAACAAAACAAACCAAAAAAAAACACAACAACAACAAAAAAAAAAAAAACAAGAGCCCCTGTCACTTGTTCTGTCACTTGTGAAAGACTTGCAATCGCTACAGACTAGTTGGTTTGGTTGGAGACATGATGCATTGGTGTGCAGCGTACCGGCTGTGATGGTGAGACATACGCAAGAGCGGACTGATGCTTCAGTATGATGAGCGCACTCCAACAACTGCTGCTGGCACCCTGTTATGAGATGATGAAAAATAAAGTGTCTGTTGTTGGTGTATGCACTATATGAGACAACCAGACACTCAAAATACTCTGAGGTCAGCCGATACTTGCTGGGGAGTGTAGGATAAGAATGAATCCCCCTTGTCAAGAAATTTTAATATTCATGAGAATTTAACATGGCAGATCCTGAACAAAAATAAGCACTTTATTAAATGAACCTCACCTCGAATTACATTATGACCTAGCGAATGAAGTCGTTGTGAGTGGGTCATGCCATCTGTTAGCAGCGTATGCTTGAGGGGAGGCTCCTCTTTGGCTGAATGCCTAGAAATACCTAAAAAAGAGCTTGCTCACCTTCATTTGACTGGGAAATAGCCTGGAGCTTCATTAACCAAGCAGGAACAATAGATCATTGTGTCTCCCGATTTTACCAAATACGCCTAAGGTGAAAGTTACAAGGCCATAGGTATAGTGGCTCTGTCATAGTGCAGTGTCATTTGCTATTCAATCGTTCTAGTAGAAACATGCGATATTATAGACTGCATTTCTAACCATTCAGACTATGAACAAATAGTCTTCAATAAAACTCAGAGTTGTTGTTGTTTTGGTTTGCGCCACCAGGGGCCGCTAAAACGTGTTATTTGCGTGATTCGTTTGACACAAACACAAATCTATTTGCACACTGCAGTCCAGAGTAAGAATTCGTTTTTACCAATAAATGAACAACAAAAGGGTTTGCGAAGAGAGAAGCAGTTTTTGTTTTCTTTTGCTCTGATGACAAGACTATGAACAAATAGTCTTCAATAAAACTCAGAGTTGTTGTTGTTTTGGTTTGCGCCACCAGGGGCCGCTACAACGTGTTATTTGCATGATTCGTTTGACACAAACACAAATCCATTTGCACACTGCAGTACAGAGTAAGAATTCGTTTTTATCAATAAATCAACAACAAAAGAAGGTTTTGCGAAGAGAGAAGCAGTTTCTTTGTTATCTTTTGCTCTGATGACAGTGTGAATTAAAGTAGGCACGCAAATATAATTATCATGTCAAGCAGGGTATTTAGGGCAAGAGAAACTGTTCAGGTTTATCACCTGATCAAGTGGGCGAATACAATGTTGTTGTGCCGAATGTAATCAGTGTAAAACTAATGAGCAATTTGTGTTAGATATCGTGCTTTTTACTGTTACGTTTTAATATAGGCGCCAATTATTGGGCAAGGTCTGTTAGAAGAAAAAACCTAAAAAACTACGTTTCCCATGATGCTTTAGAACGTGACAGGCAAGCCACCGCCTTGCTCACAAGTCACGTGACTGCCAACTATGGCGTCCCTCACCGTATTGATGTAGGCGTATCGCTAACATGACAACATAGCTGAAACGATCGCCATTTACATGACCAGTGGACAGATTTCAGTGCTAACATGCAGAAGATCAAGTCTCTCATGGCCCGACAGGTAAGTGAAGTGAACCTACGTAAAATGACTTGCCTGACCTTTATTGCAGACGCAGCTGGAGAACTTGCTAGCATGATGGCTAAGGTGGAAATTTGACAGGTGTCAATCGAGTAACCAGTCCAAGTGCACGTATAACCGGCGTAGCGGGTGTCTTGACTTTATAACATAACTAGGATATGAGGAAAAAGCTCATCGTATGCAAACCACAGTGCGTTCGTATATAACGGACATAACAATCCCATAATAGTGCATTATTTACTGTCTGTACAATATAATAGAACACAACACGTGTGTCTATTGCATTTTTGGGGGTGAATTTTTTTTGTCGATGATAACCAACGTAGCCATAATACATTGCTTGACACGTTGACATGCCCTAAGATTTTCACAAAACTCTGATTTCCGTCTTTTTCCCCCTTCGATGAGCACTTGACAGTGACAAAAAACAAGTTTTTCTTTTGCCTCTTCTGAGATTTACGTTATTTTTCCTGCTACTAAGCTTCGAAATTTTTTTCCCCCCCAGCAGTTTTTGTTTCAATGCTGGCCACATTAAGTCCCACAGAAAGTAGAGCAGTAAATGTCTAATTTTAAGATGAGATAAGAAAACATTTATTTGTCTCACAATGGAGAAATTCCCAATTTCCAGGAGCAAAATTATGAAAGGGTGAAAGTAGAAAACAAAAACTATATAAATAAATATAAGGTTTTCAGGATGTCCCACAGAAAGTAGAGCAGTAAATGTCTAATTTTTTAAAGAAGAAAACATTTATTTGTCTCACAATGGAGAAATTCCCAATTTACAGGAGCAAAATTATGAAAGGGAGAAAGTAGAAAACAAAAACTATATAAATAAATACAAGGTTTTCAGGACCGTCTATTCAAATAGCCTTTTATTATTATTATTATTATTCATCTGTTTTTAATTTTCACAACTGCAGTGGTGCCTTGAGATACGAAGGACCCGACTTACCAACCCAGGGCTCGAGACTAATTTTATGCCCCATTTGCACTGCTGCAGCCAACAATTTTTTCTTTGGTGCACCAGCGAAAAAATTAGGTGCACCCAAATTTTTCAACTGCATTCAAAACCGGAGTTTCATAGATTCAAACTTTTTTTAAAATGCGTTGAACGATATAAAAAAATGCCTGAAGCTATTAACTCAATTTCATTCATAAAAATGGAATTAATTGCCCAGCCATATTTTAATGTATTTTGTTTATTTCTCTCAGGGTCTAAAAAGCCCTCAGGAGAGTATGACAGACCTCAGTCCCACGGAAAACTTGAGGATCCCAAGCAAGGTAAATTTAAGCAGTCTTCTTATCATTATGTGGATATATTATAGTGTCGCTACATATGTAATATTTATTTTTCTTATTTTACCCCGATAAGAACACTGAGATGATGGAACATTTCTGCGGTTTTGTAATGAAAGCATGCCTTTTGAGATTAGATTGACTGCAATGGAGGGGGTTCGAATTTACCCAAATATAAGGTGTGTATGTGTCAGAGTCTTACTGCCACTGTGGTTCATTACAATTCACTCCCACGAGGTTTCCAGGAGCAGAAGCGAGACTGAAGGCCAACATTTATTTCAATTCAGGACTTCATCTCATTTACCACCGAACCAAGAGTGTGAAATAAGTTCTCCTCCAGTAGGTCACTCTCTTTTTGATAGGGTGTATGGGAACACAGTCAGTCATGCTTAATTGCATGAGATGACTCAGCAGATTGCTACCTTGTAACATGGTTTGATGCTCATTTTAAACGAATGCAGTCCCTTTTGAATAGTTGGCTTTGTATCCATTTCTCAGTGAACACAAGAGCAATTATAAATTTTTTTAGGATCTTTAGGTTGACCCTTTTTTCATGACTCAGGGGTCAAGTCCTTGTTCTTCATTTTGCTTTGAGAACAGCAAGAAGTACGGAATCAGTGTACAGTTGCACATGGATACTCAAAAGTGTAGAAATGTCACCTGAGAATGGAATATCTGTGGGTAACCATGACGACAGGATGCTCATTGCTCGAGTATACGTTTACCCAATGGCTTTACCTTGTTCTTCATTTTGCTTTGAGAACAGCAAGAAGTACGGAATCAGTGTACAGTTGCACATGGATACTCAAAAGTGTAGAAATGTCACCTGAGAATGGAATATCTGTGGGTAACCATGACGACAGAGGATGCTCGTTGCTCGAGTATACGTTTACCCAATGGCTTTAATTTTTCATCACTTTCACAGCTTGACATCATTCCTGTGTCATGAGTCGCGATTCAAATCATTTGGCTTCCACCAGGAGCCGAGAGCAACATCTGGCTCACTGATGGTCGATGAACGAAGATGCATCACCCATCATCGGACATGACTCGCACATTGAAGCAGGGAATGAGAGGATTGGCAAAGGTTGAGTTTCCTTCTGAGTCATGGGAAGAGCTCAGACCCAGATGAAAAAATATATACATATAAATCGTGAGAATGTACACGGATATAAAAACACAGCTCACCAAAAATGGGAAAAATCTTTTTTTTTTTTTGCAAGATATAAAGCCCATGTAATGAATTTATTTACATATTTTTCGGGACAAATTTAGTCATTTCATGGGAAGAGCTCAGACCCAGATGAAAAAATATAAATCGTGAGAATGTGCACGGATATAAAAACACAGCTCACCAAAAATGGGACAAATCGTTTTTTTTTTTTTGCAAGATATAAAGCCCATATAATGAATTTATTTACATATTTTTGGGGACAAATTTAGTCATAGAGCAATAGAAATGGAAAATACCGAACAAATTGCTTTGGTGGAATTTTCTGTGCAACATTTTCCTGCATCTCCAAATTCTGCTACGCAAGTTGCGTGTACCCTCTTCCATCAGCAGGGGTCCCCCTTGCTTTTCTCACAGCGCAACAAGTCGAGTTGAGAGGCTGCATGTGCTCTAACAAATGAAATTTGAGGCTATACCACAATGTTTTTATTTTGCTTTATATAATTTGGAGAGGGCATGAGCACTGAGATAAATATGCATGATTTGGTCGGGGTCAGTGCCTCTCTACCTTACACTTGAGGTCTGAGGTGTATGAGAGCGTGTGGTTAAAGTTGGCCTCTGTAAATAATCTACATTGATGCTTCGAAAGACTGTTCCATCATGGAAATAATAAGCCCCCTCATTTTGCTAACCTAACCTTCATCTCAATGTTTTTATTTTGCTTTATATAATTTGGAGAGGAAATGAGCACTGTTCCATCATGGAAATAATAAGCCCCCTCATCTTGCTAACCTAACCTTCATGGCTGTCCCACGGGAATTTACATGAAGCTCCCATTGTTGAGAAACTCTTTGTTTTTGAGCAAACCTCCCGGCTATCAAGGTCCGTTTTATCCTGGTCCTGATTGTTAACATTCAGCGAGCACTCGACACTTTGATATACCCTTTGATTCTTTGATAGTGTCTGTTCAGTGTCCTGCAATTTGAATGCAAATAGATTTGTTATTTCCGGGGCTATCCAAAAAAAAAAAAAGAAACCTGGGTGAATGAATTTGCATAGAGGATGAATATTTTATTTTTTTGCATCATGCCAGTTCAAAGTGAGATCTGTTCAAAGCTTTTGAAGCACGCATGCATTGCATCCCGATGACTCTTTCAGTTTGAGTTGTGTGCAAGTTTTCCGCTTTACGGCAAGTCCAACGATGGCGGGCGACCATTGGGGGAAGGGACAGAAGAGACGCATCTTTTGTTTTGGTTTTACGCTCATCCGTCTGTCTTCGGCTCCCTCCACTAGAACTTCCACCAGCAATGAGTCATTCAACCCCCACCCCTTCTTTTCCCCCCCGCCACCCCCTCTCACTTTCTCTCCCATTTAAGTTGATTTTCCCACCCACCTTTCGTCTGGCCGCCCGTGATCTCCTGTGCCTTCACCCCTCGTTTCCAATCTCAACGCACTCGCCCACACATTTCCCTCGGGGCTTTCGCTCTCTTCTTCACCTGAGCCAAATGGCACACAGTGCTTCATTCACACGCTTCCCCATCATCCGATCATGTTATCTGAATGTTGTTCTGCTGCACCATATACTCGTACATATATGATCCGATGCGTTGGCTTTCTTACTCAGCATAATTGTCCGATACAGAGGTGTGAGCGCGAAACACGCGCACCCACAAACTTGGGGAGGGTCACATGTGTGGCACACTTGGCTGCCTCTCGGCACACTCCAGACCGATAGCAGTGTGAGAGCTGCTTTGGTGCTTGGTGGGTGTATAACAAGGTTGTCATGGCGAGCGCTTAAAAGACAGCAAGTCATCCTGTTGAGTAAGTTAAGCTTTCATGCAAATTTGCGGTTTTATTTAACCCTTCCATACACCCTGTAAGCTGATAACATGGTAAACTGTCCACTCTAGTAGACGCTGTCCCTGAAAAGGTTAATGTAACCACGTCTTAGATTGTTTATTGTAACACGCACCCTGTAAGCTGATAACATGGTAAACTGTCCACTTAATGTTAATGTAACCACGTCTTAGATTGTTTATTATAACACAAATTACTGAATTGCTTGTGTCTATTTAAAAAAAAAAAAAAAAAAAACTTCAGAAGAGGACCTTGAAATTACTGAATTGCTTGTGTCTATTTAAAAAAAAACAAAAACAAAAAAAACTTCAGAAGAGGACCTTGAAAAAAAAAATTGCATATTAAATCGCAATCTTGAGGAAAAATTAATCGGACATGCGTGAATTGCCAAAGTGCCTATGGATCGTAATCCACATCCAACCTTGCCAAGTCTATTTTTAGTTGCAATAGATTGGAATGTGCTGATGCCTCAATGTATTGATCCAACACATAAAAGAAGTCGCAGTCAGCATTACGCGTACGTGAGATGTTTTATTTAGATGTGCGCTCGAGTACAGAATGTGTATATGTTCCGTATGTAAAGCTTTATGAATTCAGATGTGGCTACGTTTGTTTGCACTTCATTACCTTATTCATCTCTTCAGGTTCACCTTTTGCAAGCTGAAATTGTTTGGCTTTTAGTGACAGTTGTTTGATCGATTGTCACGAGCACAGATACCCAGAGGGTTTAGAGCAGGGGTGTCAAACTCATTTTTAATCGCGGGCCAAATTATAGTTCCCGGTTCCCTTGGAGGGCCGTGATGACTGTGAAACCATATAAGGAAGTCAAGAATAATGGTTTATTCAACTTCAGTTTAAGTTTCTGTAATGAGGGTTTTTGGGAACAAGAAAACTTACAATAGCTCTTGTATATTACATATGAGAATTTGAATTTTTGGTTAAAATTTTAGCAAGCATCGTAGAAGTCGACATGTTTGATTTGCTTTCGCGGGCCACATAAAATGATGTGGTGGGCCAGATCTGGCCCTCGGGCCTTGACTTTGACACTGGTGGTTTAGAGGATGAATCCAAATTATTTGCAAAGTAACTTGACCTCCCCTCGAGTGCCAAGTCACTCTATCGTGCTTGTTTTCTCCTTTTACAGCCTCGCTCATCATTTAAATGGAATAATTTTGCCCGCGGTCCTTTCGGTAGCAGCAATTTCCCCTTTCAAAATGGCACATATCGAGACCTTCAAAGATCCATAAAGTGCATTTGAAGTGATGTTCATCCAAGCTCTTGGACCTTTGTGATGCTGTCAGCAACTGTTCATCAACTTTTTGCCTCTTTATAAACTGCAGACCTGAGACATTTGCTCACACTTTGTCATTGACCCGCGACCACAAACCTGCTAATTAACACTGTCGGTGGTGAGAGCTTCAAATCTGAAAGAGCGTGCGGCAAGCAGCCTCGGCGGATGCGCAGCATGTTAATCAATAAGACTCTTACGGTTCTCACGAATACTCTGAAGGGAGGGAATCTCCTTTTTGTTTTTTTTGTTTTTTTAAAGTCATTCATTTCCTGGCTTTGTTCCCCACAACCCTGACCGATATCCCTCATGAGAGCAGCGCAATGAAATAACATGTAATCTTCTCCCAAACCACACTCCTATTCCCTTTCCTTTTCTTCTCTCTGCCCCTTGTTATCCATCTCATTTTCATTCAACCCCCTTCTCACTTTGTCCTTAAGCCTCGGTGAAACTCCTCTGACTCCCTTCTTCCCGCAATGATATTTTATGTAGACTGCTGAGAGGTTTTAAACATTTTTTTTTAACGTTTCTCGGGCTGATTGTGTGTTTCCCTGCGCCGGAACTGTGTGAACGGTAAACCAAATTGTCTGTGGGTGTTTTAGGAGGAGCTGCGAGAGCTCAGGGAGCAGCCGATCGACCCTCAGGCCGAGCAGGAGATCATCGACGGCATCGAGGAGATCTACTTCTCCAACGACTCTTTTGACATGGTGCAGCACGAACTGCAGGTCGTGTAAAAATACTCTCTGTTTCAAAGTGCTTGACGAACGGAATGAACGACAACTCGCTCTCCTGTAAAACTGATGAGAAGACCGGCTCGCGGTTTCCACTTCCCCCGCGGTAACGGCAGTAATTCCATCAAGGCCACCACCGCCTGTGATAGCAATGCGGTATTTGCAATGCCTCCGAATCCGTGATCGTTATTTTGCGCTTCCTGGTTTCTCATCTGAGCTGCTGCCACTTCCTCTTCTCGTTCCATTGACATCCAGACTGATGGATTGTATCCACTGAACAGAAGGAGGGTGTGAAATCTCATTAGATTTATCTTGGTCTCACCACACCACCTGAAAATGAGACTCTCAATCAAGGGGAAAGTAATTACCTATCATCCTTTGGGGCATGGAATTGTAATATCTTCTTTACCCAGCTGAGTTTGTTTGCTGTTTACTAAATAACGTCCTCTGCCTTCTTGGCCCAACCTACATCTGATTTTCGGGTATAAATTGAGGTAATCATTTCCGTTTCATTGAATATAAGAGCAAGTCAGATCAGCGAGACAATCTTGAACCCCTCCAAATGCTTCGTGGCATATATTTTAAATTCAGATACCGAGCAGCAAATACTGTACCTCCTCGGCTCTCCCCGGGTTCGAACTTTTTCTAATGAGGATCTGTTTTGAAGCAGCAGGAGACATCGCCGCGTGATGCGTCTGTCAGCGGCTGGCGTACAAATAAACTTTGTTGTTGTTTTGTGTTTGTTTAGAAACTCCCAACCGAGTTGAACCTGCAGGACTTGGAAGAGTACCGAGACAGACTGAAGAGACAACAGGCTGCTGTAAGTCAGACGCGCTCACAGAACGGAGCTGAAAAGAATGTTTCACATTTTAAAATGATGGCATGACATGGTACAATTGTTCAGAAAAAAAATCAATACAAACAGAAATTGTCCATTCCAGGCTCACATTCTTGCCACGCCCTTTATGAACCCTAAGGGAAATGTGTTAAGTTTTGTGCGCCATTTTTGCTGAAAATTTTGAATGTCTTTTTGTACAGCAACCCTTCCTTCGTTATCAAGCCTCTCTCTTGAACTTAGTACCTGTTCCCCCGCGGGTATGGCGCGTTAGCTGCCAAACAGCCGGTAAATTGAGAGCACCCCAGACTTTATGTGACCAGCAGTGTGGCGAGCGCTATGTGATGGTAAACACTTGGAGTACATCTTGTCGCTTTCCCCTAATATGTCACAGTTAGCTTCCGGGCACCTCTGGAGAAATAGCCATGGCAACTGTTCCAGTGAACAGTCGCGCCAAAACACTCTAGCCGTGTTGTTCGGTGACACCTCCGACAGTTAGCGAGTTTCAAGTGCCGTGGGGCATTTGCAAAAAAAAATTCTTCGGGGTATAAGCGAATAAGTGCATGGAAGTGAGTGCTTACCCGCAACCCTAATGAGGAAAAGCCGTCTGGAAAGTGGATCGAAGGAGAGAAAAATCAACATCATTCAATTGCTTGTGTCAGTCTGCCGGGCTCTGATTTTAGTAAACAATCAAATGACAAATATTTTGTGCGTTTTTTTTTTTTTTTTTTCTTCTTGTAGCGCAAAGCATCAAAATGAAAATCTGAAAAATTCCTCATGAGAATCATTAAAAAAAAAAACACAAGCCTCTTTTTGTGCGCTTGAGTTATGGTAATGAATTGCTTCAATTGGGTGCTCGTGCCGGCTGGCGTGCGGTGAGCTTCTGGAAACGTCCCAGTCAACAGATTGAGAGTTAATGTATGGCTTGTGTGCAAATCTAAAGTCAAAGAAATGGCATTCATTTTCACCCTACCATGAACAGATGGTCTTAGATATGCATGCAGAATGTTTGGTTTGTTTTTTTTTTTTTTTTGCGGGATCTAAGAGTTTGCGTGCAACATGCATAATAATGCAAAACCCTAAGGAGTGGGTGAATGTTTTTTTTTTTTAAAACAGGATTTTATCAGCGAGCAACTTAACGAATTATTATTTTCGAGCAGCCTGATGAGGAATCGATTTATTGCGAGGTGACGTCAAAAAAACGTGAGCCATATGTGACGCGGTTCATCTCACCGCCACGAATGTCCCGCTGCCAGGAATGAAAAGACCATCTCGGTTCGTGGGTAGCTTTTATGTGTTTGTACATTCACGGTGTGCACAGCCAGACTCAACGGTCGCGCAGATCATTACTTCCGGGATGTGTAGTCACTGTGTGGAATGAAGCTTATCCCTGTGCAGAAGCAACGATGGTGCTTGAATGTGCTCGCCGCAGGGGTGCCCTGTGACCGGCTTCCCTTTTGTCCCAACTGAGATGCAAATATTTCCCCATTCGTAATGAGATGACAGACGGGTGCATCACCCGTACATATTAGCTGCTTTACCTGAATCCTCTTTGCCTTGGTCGAAGAGGCATTTTGTGTCATTTGGGGAGAGAACATCTGCCTTGTCTGTCCGCCACCGCATCTGAGCTTAATTGGCATCTCTGACTCACTCCCGGCAGAGGTTCATCTCCTAGCTAATTGCCTTTGCGCACTGTGAGACCTCAGCCGCCGTGAAAACCGGCGTAATCCAAAAAAAAAAAAAAAACGCACTTTGACTCACTCCACAGAAGCGGTAGCTGAGCAAATACCAGAGACGGCCATGTTCTAATAACCTGGTGGGAAAGCTGCCGTTGAAAACTTTGTGTGGCTTTGATACCTTTGCTTAAATCCTCCTTGGAAAGGGACTTTAAATTTAGCGTGTGCGCGCCTGTAGGCATGCGTATGCGGTGCTGCGAGGGGCAATGAAGTGCCTGAACACCAAATGTACAATTTACGGGAGCATATCATTCGTTACATGAAACGAGGGCGAACCACTGAATCAGTAAATTACACCACTCCTTTAAAATGGATGCACTCACTGGCCACAATTGAGTTGATTAATATTGAAATAAGATGAGGTGTAGGAGCTGTATCGTCTTGTTCATCCAATCATATACTATATAGATATGTATCTCTATCTACATATTCACATTCTTGATTTTGAGGTAACACTGCCCCAGCTGTTTTCTAGGGTGACATTTGGGAAAAAAAGTTTCTCTGTTCTAACACGGCCATTCTCATTCTCTGCTCTCTCTCTTTCTCTGTAGGTTTCCAAAAAGGTTGCTGATCTCATTCTGGAGAAGCAGCCTGCTTATGTCAAGGTAAAAAAAACAAACAAACAAAAATACCACAAAAACCTGCACTGAACAGCTTCTTTCTGATGGTCCTCACTTTAATTAAGATCACAGGAACATTTATTTATTTATTTATTTTTAAATTTCTGAATAAAAATCAGACTGTGTTAGCGTCTCAGTTAATGCCCTCCCGGATGACCTTGTGAAAGTACATCAGTTAGAAAAATCGAAGAGGCGTTAGAAGGTTTTTTTTTTTTTTTTTTGAAATTCAAAATATCATCCTGAATTAAATTAAAACTTAATCCCAGAAAATCCCTTCTTTGCTCCTCCGATGATGTTGCAACGACCTGAAATGCCTGCAACCGATTTCATGTTAAGTATGAGAGGGAGATAATGTGGTAAAATAAGTCTCTTTTGGTCATGTCTTCATCATCTCCTCTCAGTCTAGTCTTTCTGCAGCAGGAGCGATATTTATTTTGACTGCATAGACTTCCAAGTCAGGACCTGGGAGTAATTATGGAACCCAGCACCCACAGGCAAAATGCAATTAATTATTATTAATAAGTTTGGTAAGCTTGACCAGGCTTAACTTTACTCAATTTCCCGGGCGTGTGTGCGCCATTTATGGGGCCATCACTCTTCAAAGAATATTTGCTTGCTTCTTGTGTTCTTTTCTCCCCCCCCCCAAAGTAGATCCAATAAATGAGTTTCGTCACTAATCTTGGTGACGCTTTTGGTCCTGGAAATATGCGACAGATTGCATAAATGCAATCAAATGAAATGTTCTTCAGCCATCCGACGGTCAATCTATGAATAGTAAACTGGTCATTATTTCCGTGACCCCCCTTAGTGACTCTGCCGCGTCCAGATGACAGCGGAACTTATTAGCTGCAGGAATTCGCCTCCACCCATCTCAGTTCACGTACACAAGTTGGTCTACGAAATGCCCTCTGGGGTTCAGGGGGCATTTTCTATATCCCTTGCATTCATGTTATAATGAGTCAAAAGAGAGCTTTTATTTTCTTTTTTTTTTTTAAATGATTTAATATGAGCATGATTTCCTGCATTAAGGGCCCCTGACAGGAATGACAGAAAAAGCAGTTGCCATCTACATTTTGTCCTTGCATTGCATCTGTGTTGTAAATCCTTAATAATTTCTGCCTCCGCCACCACCACCACCACCAACAACAACTCTTATTCTACTTATCTGCTCTCTATGATCATTTTTACGATGTAAACAGAAATGCGTATCGCCGCATAACGCGCAGGCAGCCCCCGCGGCCGCCCCGCTTCCTCTCGCCAGCGCTCGCGTGCCGTGTATTGCCCTTCAGTGGAAGCATAATTTGTGCAGACATCTCAACCCATGGCTCGCAGCTTAAAAAGGATGGTCTGGTAAGCATCTAATGTGATTCATAGCAATCGAGGGAGTAGCCTTCTGCTGGAGCTTGCGTCTGATCACTGTTGACACCCGCGAGCTGCACATAACCTCCTCTTGCACTCAAAAAAGGACGGATGGGTTACAGCACGACCTTAGCTTTTGTCAGTGATCCGCTTCCAGCGTTTGACTTTCATGCGTGTATTTTGAAGGCGACCGCAGTTATTTGCGCGTCTTCTCTTTACTTACCTTCGCACTCGTGTCCGGTATTCCAAAGATGATATGATTGCAAAGTATATGTGCTGCTTTACAAGATGGAATGGATTTCCATGAAGGAGCCCGAACCGGGTCGCTCAACACAATCAAAAAGGAATGGGCTGGGTCAGGGACTCAATTATATTTTCACTGGAAAAACATTTATTATACTCAGCCGTGCGCCTTTCATTGTGCTGCTCCCAAGTTGTTGCGTTTGAAGAGAAAGGTTCAGCCAACCTTGGTGGTCAGACCTGCCAATTAGAATGGAGGTCTCAAGGCTGTTTCGCAAGGGAGATTAGAAACTGACAGGAAATAGAGCTGTCGGGGAAGAGATGCCTAATATCGGCCAAACCGTGTTGGCATGTGGCTTCTTACAAAATGCCACCTCCCGGGGTCCATGCACTTTGTATCCTAAATGCCAGTCATCTTTGTTTCATTGCATTTCCTTGACAATGAAGCAGACTCAAACAGCAGCAGCATTCGAATTGACAGAGACATTTAGTAAAAGCAAACCTGTGCATCGTCAATGTGTTGGAGGGTCAGAGTGAAGACCTCTGATGAATATATGAATAGCAAGGCATTGAGAGAGGGGGAAAAAATATCTAGTGAGGCTAAACAGCTTGACCTTTACTTGGCATTGCTGCTTTCCCACCCAGCGCTCGTTTGTGGCCATATTAGGAGTTGCTTTGCACTGTTAAAAGTGCTGGCTCACCTTTCCTCTGTTTATGTTTGGACTAGAGGATGGACAGGGAATTCGTGCCCGGTTGTACAAAAAAATTTATAAATGAATAAAAAATTGCCATCAACAGACTTGTATATAAAACAAAATTATTTTCTTAATGTTTTTTCCCCTCTGCTTCAGCTCTGTTTGTTCTCTTCAGAGGTCTTTGTAATCAAAACTAAATTCTAAAGTGCTAATTGGGCCTTGAGGTCAACGATAAAAATTTTCTGAAGCAGTAACATGCTGCCATTATTCACATTATTGTGTTTTTGCTCTCCTGAGCGCAGTTTTTAATTTTTTTTTTTTTGTTTTTGTTTTATTCTGACGGCGTCCAATCTCGAACTTCATCTCACGCTCACAGCAGCAGCCTCCTCACCCTAATCTGTTTTTACATCACAGTTGATTTGTGTGCGCTTCAGAGTTGAAGAAGCGCTATGTTGGATAAATGGCTGCATCAGAGAAATCAATCTTTTGCCGCAGGCGCCTTTTCAACACTTAAGAGAAATTGTGAAGTGGTTCGGTTTATGTTTTCAGGAACTGGAGAGAGTGACGGCGTTACAGACCAACCTGCAGCTGGCTGCTGTTATTTGCACAAATGCAAGAAGGTGATGGTGTGCTTTGTATGCTTGACCGCATTTAATCCTCATATTCTTGTTGCTTTTCGTGTACTTAACTTAAGATCAGATCATCTTTTGCAGCTCAAGCAGTACAGCAACATGCAGAAGGTTGTTAAAAATTGTATTAATGGAATTGAGTCAAAAAACAAAACAAAAAAAACTGTTATCATCAGTTCCTGTTTTGCTCCAGAGTGGAATGATGAAGAGCAGTCCCTTGAGCCCGATACTACAGTATGTTCTTGTAAGGCAAAAAAATAAATGCTAATTACACCGTATGTTTATTGCAAAAGGAAATGGCTCTCACTTTGTTACCCCCACAATCAGCCTTGCAATCAAAGATCTCTGGTGTTGTTCAGGGCCAACGTTCTGTCTGATATGCAAATAATAGCCAACCTATTTCGTTCCCATTTATCACACCGCCCTCCTATCTAAATATAGAGTCGGTACTTTTGAAAGCTTTGAAAAGTGGGATTTATTCCATCTCTGCCCTGTTATCGCTTCTCACTCTCGCTCGCTCTTGCTGGATTGGCAATAGAATAGCATCATCCCTCGGTATTTGTATTCATTATTTATTTGTTGTATGTCCGCCATTATTTATTTCTTGACCACCTTTAACATTTTAATTTGGACCGACACACCAAGCTCGTGTGTGAATGTATTCAAAAGAAGGGCTGCTCGCACGCATGAATGTCATGGAAATTAACTCAGCAAAACAACACCATTAGCTGAGTGTATTAAAGCCAAATCCTTCAAAAAAAGGTTATTATTCTGAGCATGTTTTTTTTTTTTTTTTTGCAATTTGCCTTAGGCAACTGAGTGTGTCAAAGGAGGGATTCACAGAAGCAAGCTTGGGCTTATTAGCCAATCAGAGAAGGCGGCAGCTCCTGACAGGCCTGCTCAAATCTCTTCGGACCATCAAGACGCTGGTAAAGTATATTCACGACAATAATTCTGCTAAATCTTGTTTTTTTTGTTTGTGTGTTTGGTTGTTTTTCTGGGTTTTTTTGCATCTGCACTCAAATTGGAGAGTCATTGTCCTCTCTTCAGGCTTACCCAATATCCAAACGGTTCTCTGCAGCCTTCGGTATATTTACTTTATTTGTGCCTCCCATTTTGCGTGACTTTCTTTGAACCCACATGCTTTTGGGCTTCTCAGTCAGACTGCAATGAATCAAGTTTTATTGAACAGTGTATTTACGACCGACAGTATGTTAAATGATGAAATCTGTATAGTTTAAAGATTATGTTTTGGACTTGTTTTTGTGCTTGCATTTACTTTTTGGTATGTAATAGTACCGTGCTCAAGTCTTGGTGTTCCCTCCACAGCAAAGAACAGATGTGCGACTCAGCGAAATGCTCGAGGTATTGTACACCCGCCCTCCCACCTGCACACATTGATAGACATGCTAACGACTGACTTGAAAGCCCAAATATCATTCGAGATTCTGCATCGAGAGCTGAACTCGTAGAAGCTCTTGACCCTCTAACAAATGCTTCTCTTTTATGAAGATTCGCTGGAGCAACCAAAATCAATATGACCGACACGGAGTTTAATGCTTTGTTCTTTTGACAACCATCTTACAGAACCTAGTTTATCAAACCGTGACTGTGAAAAAATGAACCTATACTGGGTAACGTCATAGCTGATATGATAAAATACATTGTTGTATTTTTACCACTCTTGTACTTGAAAAGAGCTTATGAATTGCTTGTAATTGACCAATTTTGCTTTATTTCTTCAGGAGGAAGACTATCCTGGTGCTATCCAGCTGTGTCTGGAATGTCAGAAGGCTGCCAGCACATTCAAACACTATAGCTGCATCAGGTACGGTCGGAAATTTCAAAGTATTGAATTTTCATTATGCTTTAGTGGTGGAATTCAATTTATGCAATTTGGGAATTGCCATTGAAAATAAAACAACATTACTAATTGTTGTTCATTTACCATTAATATTTCCCACGATGGGGAACTATTATTATTCACATGATTATTCAGCAGTTAGGCGGCCCGGTGGTCCATTGGTTAGCGCGACAACCTCACAGTGCAGAGGTCGTAGGTTCGATCCCGGCTCCGGCCTTCCTGCGTGGGTTTTCTCCGGGTACTCCGGTTTCCTCCCACATTCCAGAACCATGCATGGCAGTCTAAATTGTCCCTAGGTGTGAGTGTGAGCGCGGATGGTTCTTCGTCTCTGTGTGCCCTGCAATTGGCTGGCAACCGGTTCAGGGTGTCCCCCGCCTACTGCCTGAAGACAGCTGGGATAGGCTCCACCACCCCCCGCGATCCTTGTGAGGATAAAGCGGATCGGAAAATGGATGGATGGATATTCATCAGTGACTCCAAAAAGACTTGGATGCTGAACACTCCCGGTTGTAACAATTGGGCTGAAGTGACAGGATGACTGATGATCAGTAGGCGCGCATTATACACTGGAAATTGCAATGCTGAACACTCCTTTTACCCCACCTCCCTCCCACCCACGACCCCCCACTGCATCTGCTCTTAATCTGCTTGGATATCACTTCTGTCTTTACCGTGACATTAATTTGTCATTATTGGCATTGAACGCATATGGGAATGCTAGTAGAATATTTGACAAAGCGGTGGCTGCATACAAAACAGTCCGCTATTTTATTGGCCGCCGATTATTTCTCCGACTTCAGATTGCTTGTTGACACTAATGTTGATGAACGTCGACTTGTCATTGATGTGTCAGTCGAGCACTATGATTTAAAAACAAAAAATAAAATCACAGCAATAAAATATATTTACTCACAACAGATGGCTCATATGCCAAATTTATGGAGAACACAAGAGCGGGCGAGCGGGCTGGGTGAAACCTGCTGTGGCGTGACTGCATTTCCAGTCAGAGATTAAAAAAAAAAAAAAAAAAAAAAAAAAACCTCTCGCTCGTTGTGCTTGCCGCCAGGTAATGTTTGTACAACTTGGCCAGGTGGGGAAACCTGACCTCGTTCTGGGCCCACCCCAGCAAGGGGGCGGTTACACATTGGGAATTCGTATTGTTTGCAAATAATCACAGACCTCTTTGCATGTGCATAATTCCACATCCTCCTTCCACTTTGATTGGTCGGGTTGAATAATTGCTACAAATCCTACTTGAGCTAAACCCCTTCCCCCTTCCCTGGTTCGCCCTCATTTACCAAAGCTGCACATTCAGAGAGAGAGAGAGAACAGTTTAAATCAATTTAGGTGCCGGACTTATTTCAGTCAGTGCACACATTTCTTGCTGGAGGCAGTTCTACTTCCTCATCAAGCCAAAGCGACGTGATTAGCGACTGGCTGATGTCATGCTGGAAAAAAAAATCATTGCGGAGTAGCACAGTGAACAAGTTGTCTATTCAATCCCTTAAGTTAGCTTTCAATGAGGACAGTGGGGAACAAAGGAGAAGAATCTTCCCCTTTGGCCGTCGCCATGTCTGCGTTTTTCTCAATATGGTGTGGTGATCGCACTCGGTAGTAGCTCTCAACATGAGTACGTTGGTGCCACGCTCGTTGGTGCATCATCATGCACGTTTTACTCAAGCTCTTTGGCCCTTACGGCATCGCCCACTCTCAGCAGCTTGTTGCCGGCTGGATGCACTTTGATTTAACCTTGTAGCGACAGTTTGCCATGCGCCACTGAGTGCCCCCACCGGGGGCGGGGCGGGGGGGGGGGGGTGTTTGATGGCCGCACCCTCCCGTTCATGTCCCTTGCCTTTTAAGAGTCAAAATTGTTGTCAATATTGTTATTTGAAGAACACTGTTCTGTCTCGATGCATTTTCAAGAAGTAACTCACACTGGTGGCTGTAAGGGCAGCGAGAGCGCTCCCCTGAAGTCAACAGAGGGAATTACACACCGTAAATTCTATCGCGTGATCACAGTAACAGAAAGTTCGGCTTCCCGCCTCAAAGTGAGCTCACAAAATGAAACTGAAATGAGGGAGTGTTACCGTTCATCTCACCAGTTCCAAAGAATAACCAATTTCTGGGCTGTGTGAAAGCTTTGCACAGAGTTTGGTCTGCAAAACAAAAACAACCCCCTTGCCCCCCCGACCCCCTTATAAAATTTCTTTAAGCCACATTGTGACTGCGTTTCCTTTTTCCCCTCCATGCCATCCACTTTTCAAAGCCACTTTATTGCCTCTGGGTCTACTGCGTAACAGTGGCTTTCATGACCGCAGCAAAAAATAAATAAATACAGTATTCCCACTGAACCTGAGCTTCCGGGCCAGACCCTTGAAGGGACGGCTAGCCTGTTTATCCAGTCAGCAGTCGACTGTGGAGGGACTTTCCTCCAAGCCTCGTGGGCACGCCTATTGTCACCTCTAATTGAAAATGAGGTGTTTAAAAAAAACAAAACACACTCTCAGTTTCCCTCCTTTAACTACATTTCAATCCTCGAGATCCCTGCGGGGAACAGGTTGTTAATTAGGTTTTCCTTCTCATTTGTTATTTATGTATTCGGTCTGATTGTGGAAAAGGTGCCAGTATGTAAGTAAGCATCTGATTCCGCACTCAAATGCATGAATATACCACGAATACTGTTTTGCCATATATAGAGAGAGAGTGTATATGCGAGATAACCAGATTTTTTTTCAGCTTGTGTGTTTGACCTTACTCAACTCGAGCACATGACATTGCGGGTGTGTATTCACGCGATGTAAAGACAAGCAAGGGCATTGATCCAGTTGGCCTCTCCTCCACCTTCAGTCGAGCATTCTCCCGAGTGTTGAGCGCGGACACTAGGACGCCCTTCTTCAATAGTCACGGCCCGGTTATATGGATCAGCACACCTGTCTGTACTCGAGCCAAACTTTCTGCATCGCGGTGTGTTATGTAACAGCCTTGACCGCAGTGTTTGTATTTTGGCAGCGCAGCCAATGTCGCACGGGTGTTGGACTGACTCCTCATTATTTGAGGATCATGAGTGTCCTCGTCGCGTCAGTAGCTGACAACTCTGATCAAGTTCCAAACTGTCTTTTTTTTTTTTTTTTTTTGTCAGTCTCAAAGTTCATCTCGAACCAAGTTTTAGAATCTTATCATTTCTGGATTTTCTATCTGAGCAACCTGCGAGGGACCCAATCTCTATTTTCGCTACTCGACTCACTCCTCCCCATTCTCCTTCCGCATTAAGCAACGATGCTTAATTAGCAATTTTTATCAAGGACACATTCTCCCTTTGGGCAACTTGCTGTCTCAAAAGGCCCAACACAAGAACGGGCTGACCCGGAAAAGACCCCAAACAAAGCAGGGACAGATGCAGGGAGACGGTGGAACAAAGGAGGATTACGGCTGGGTGCTGCATTGGGGGCTAGCTAGCCCAAGGGAATTATGTGGGTGTCCTGGGATGGGTGAAATAAGATGTGAATTCTGTTATCTTCATTCCCGGTTGAAAGAATTTCCTACCACGAGATAACATCTTAAGATGCTTCAAGGTTGTGTGGGCATTTTCTGTGTGTCATAAGCAAGCATTATGAGTGCTACAATATCAACACTTGAAACTGTAGTTGGAGATTAACTGAATGCCTTCACTGAAGTTTTTTTTTTCTCCCAGCTCTTTGTTTTTCTCTCGCCAATGTCATTAAATATATTGAAAGTGTTTTTTTTTTTTAAATGTAGTACCAGTTCCACAACTTCAGCAATATTCTCTAGCCTATTGAAAATATAAATACTATAACGGATGGAGGTTTTTTTTTTTGTTTTTGTGGTAAAGGAACTTAAAGATAATAGTCAACTTTTTTGTCTCCACAGTGAATTGAATTCCAAACTGCAAGACACTCTGGAGCAAATAGAGGTACTCTCTCTCTTGTCCGCTCACTCTGCCTTATCTGTAATTGAGTTATTGAGAGCCACTATATGTGAAAATGCTATTCATGTTATTTAGCATTTGGCCCTATGCTTTAATATGAAAGAAAAACATTTATTCAGACACAACTGTGGCGATTTAATTCTGCCTCTGTTCAAATATTGACAGGCTGAAAAGTCATTATTTTGAGCGCAAAAGGACGCAAATCGTATCAGTTTCATCTCGAGCTCAGTTGCGATATTATGGCACGATAAAAGGTATGCAAAGCAATTTTCCCTGCCCCGCTGCCTCTGCACTTGAATAGATTAATTACTTTCGTTTGTCTGTACACAAGAAAAAAGGCACAAACGCATGTGCGCAAATATTGACGAGCCGCCGGTGGAAGTGCCCGCCTGTTTACCCTTCAGCTTTGGTGATCAACAAAAGAAAATCCCCTAAACTCATTTTACGAATCACAAACAGCCGTCTGACACATCAGGAAGATGATGTGCGGCATGTTTGCAACTGTGATGGAAGACACACATGCCGAAGGGGAATCTATGTACTACATCCGGTGACGTGTACATGAGGATTAAATACCGTTTGGTATTTGCAGTCTCAGAGTAACAAAAACACACCTTGACGCACAGTTAGGCAAGAAAATCCCCTAAACTCATTTTACGAATCACAAAGAGCCGTCTGACACATCAGGAAGATGATGTGCGCCATGTTTGCAACTGTGATGGAAGACACACATGCCTAAGGGGAATCTATGTACTACATCCGGTGATGTGTACGTGAGGATTAAATACCGTTTGGTATTTGCAGTCTCAAGAGTAACAAAAACACACCTTGACGCACAGTTAGGATTTTTACTAGCACTGTACGGACTTTTATCGTTGTCTTTTTATGCGGCTTTAAAACCTGCAGCCAGAGAGCTTTGTACCTCTGTCAGCACCCCGTTCGAAAAGTTCGATTCAGTGTGGCAAGGTCTTCCTTTCTTACAACCCCCCTCCCCTCACATCTTTGTAGCGCTTTGTCAAAAGCGTCCGCTCTCATCCACATCCAATTACCGTAGCCTCTGCTTTGTGTACGAGCTATACATCTGCACATCTATATCGAAATCCCCCGGTCTTAAAGTTGATAATCCCCCCACTGTTTCCTTCCCCACCTTTTGTCATCCATCTGTTTCTGCCTCCAGGAGCAGCTTGACGTTGCCCTGTCAAAGACTTGCAAGCACTTTGATGTTTCGCACTATACCAAGGTCCATCTGGCTTACACACTCCTGGGGAAGACGCAGGTGAGTTGTGGCGCTCCTCTTCAAGGTGATGGAAATGTGTGTTTCCTCTTGCCATAATCCTTGTTTCTTTAGCAAGTCTTTGCCCAATATTTACTTTTTTTTTTTATTTTTTTTTTAAACTGGATCGGAGTGAAATGACAATCACAAGGTTGTGCTAATTTGTAGTCCTGGCAGAAGGTGACAATCATCCAATATATCTTGCGCAATGTCCCCATCTTCCAAATGAATATTTACTTGCATGCACAGCGTTGTGCACACCGCTCCCAGAGGTCTCGGCTGAATTGGTTCAATGAATGGTATCAGTATTTGATGCAAAATTACTGTTAAAAATGGATTCGCCTCACCCAAGCTTGGTTTAAATGGAGAGACATATTTGTGGTGTGAGCTTGATGTGAGAAGGGCATTTTCAAAGTTTCTGCAAACATATCTACAAACAAACACAAGTGAAAGGAGCATTGCTCTAATAATAATATGAGTCATACACAACAGAATAAACCTTTCAAAAATCTTAAGCAAAGCCTGAACTCCTACTTCAAGAGGATTCGGCTTCATATGCAGCTTGGTAACAAACCGAAGCAAGCAGCACACGGGTGGGGGGAAACAGCCCCAAGCCCACTCAGTGTAATGAAAAACATAAATGTTTCAAAATGGGTAATGAACTCTTTCCCTTCATGCGGTTCTTGAAAAGCTAAAATGCAATCACAAAAAAAAAAAAAAAAAAAAAAAAAGGCCCGGCAACCTTATTTTAAGCACATGTGCAAGTGGACTATTTTCAGCTGCGTTTAGTTGGAGCCTCATTCAGTTTTTCCAATGGTATCCAAATGGAGATGGGAGAAACTGCAGAGTCCACGTTCATCTTAATGAAGGAATAATGTCACATGGAGCAAGAATGGAGCTCACTGATGACTTTTTAATAGATCTTGGACAACAATGCATCTTTCTGTCATGGAGAAAAAGCTATTAGGTGTTGGCTGAAATGCCAATGCTTGTTAAATGAGTACTCACCACTGAGCTGCAAAACATTTCTCACTTTCTCACCGACATTTTCACTAGCCCCGTGTATAAATGCTATTCATCTCCAAGGACAGCGCATATAATACGTGGTAAATTTCTTTTCATCGATTTATGCAGTCATTTAAATGTAGCCCCTTAACTGCTGAACATTCCGTGTCGTATTTATGGCCTAGCAATTGTAAATGTGGAAACTGTGCTGTCTTATGAAGTCTATTTGTTTTTCAAAATATTTGGGACACTGAAAGGCATGTGGGCGACTGGTTACCATTTCCCCCTCACAGTGCAGATGTGCAAGGTTCGATTCCGGCTCCGGCCTTTCCGTGCGGAGTTTGCATGTCCTCCCCGTGCCTGCGTGGGTTTTCTCGGGGTACTCCGGTTTCCTCCCACATTCCAAAAACATACATGGCAGGTTAATGGAACACTCTAAAGTGTCCCGAGGAGTGAGTGTGAGTGCAAATGATTGTTTTGTCTTCGTTTGCCCTGCGATTGGCTGGCAACCAGTTCAGGGTGTCCCCTGCCTACTGCCCGAAGACAGCTGGGCTAGGCACACGGGCAGATGCCAATGGCACCATCATGTTCAGAATTGGGTGTTTGGCTTTCTTTGCAGACTGCTATGGACCAGCTGCACATGCACTTCACCCAAGCCATCCACAACACTGTGTTCCAAGTGGTGCTGGGTTACGTCGAGCTCTGTGCTGGCAATGCTGATACCAAGTTCCAAAAAATGCAGTATAAGGATCTGTGTACGGTAAGACACTCATGTCCTGCACCTTCGATACGCAGATCACCTGTGACCAAGTCGAAGTCTTCTTGACCCAATCGTTGGTGGCGTTCTGTCTGCCAGTGTCAGTACTTTCCTATCATGATTTTGTGTGAGGTGATGGTTAAAAAGCATGATATAGTAAAGCCTATTAACAATGGAATACTCTACCGTAAATGAATATAAATCACGCCATGGTCACTTCATCTAATGTACACACTGGTCCCTTACTTTCCTTTCCTTGTTTGTGTCTGAACTTGTCTCATCTAGGTTCCACTTTCAAATAAATCCCAGAATGCTGTTTTCGAAGACATAGCTTGGTCAATTTATCCTGAACTTACTGGGGCAAATTGCTGTGTCCCCCCAGAGATTAGAAGGTTACCGGTGACGGTTCCCGATGCCTGTGTGGACTGGATGTTTTTCGTTTCTGTCCCATTTAACACCGTATTCAAGTTTTGATAGTTTTCTTCTTCACACTCTGCTTGCTTGTTGACTTCTTGTTGTTTGGCTGGCACAGCTGTCATGCAGCAGATTTCCGGTGCTCTCCCTTTTACCTGTCTTTTCATCCCTCTCTCTCGCTGCTTTAAATATCCATAGACACTATTTGCTTTTGGAAAGGTCAAGGCATATTTTTTTATTGGAGAGACATGACAGGCGGCGACTTCAAAGGAATAACACAAAGTAGTATTTCAGGACTTTTTTATGATACTGTAGATGTTGAACTCTGACCAGCCACAAGATTAGGTACGCCTGTGCAGTCTGGTGAGATCTTGTAGAACAGATTTATTTTCATTTGCTGTACAGCACACTCTACTTTGAAAAATGCAAAAATGTTGACACTGGCAAATATGGGTACAGTTTTCTTGTAGTTTCCAGTTTTACGAAAGCTGCACTGTAACATACTGCAAAAGTGTTTTGGTGACTTTATTTTAGATAGTTACCTGAGTGGGTCATATTTTCTCTTCTGTAATGGGAAGATTAAGATCAGTCCTTTTCTTTTACTCCTTGCTCTCACATCAAAAGCAGGCAATCTTGAAAATGGATTCCCTTTTGCACGGTCGAGAGAGTAATTGTGAAGGAGCGAACGCATTGACTCTCTGTTTCCACGTTAAGTAAAGGTTGAATGATGTGAAAGCACACGTTGGACCCTCTGAACCCACCTTTCTGATTAGGTGACTTAAAATTCAAGAGCAATGGGAACTCTCTGAGAGGTCAGTTAGGATTATGGGAAGGCCATATTAATTTTATATCAGCATCTCATCATTATTGGCCAGACTTTGTATCAATCCCCTGGTCTATTGGACCGCTCTTGTTGGAATTCTTTCATTCCAGTCATTGGAGGTGAAGTGGCTGAGATTTTGGAAGTTATTTATTTGGGGATGTATCATGCACATTATTTGAATCTTAATTCTTGGAGTCGTAATGAAAGGCAGGCATAGTGGAGGCCATTGGCCACACTGTATATCGGTGCTGTCCATTTTTTTTGTCATTAAAAAAAAGGTTGACGTTAATGGGAATGTCGGCATTTCAGACATCATATTGACATTAAAAAAAAAAAAAAAAAAAAAATCTGATGCCAAGCCATTTTGTCGCTTATTTTTGTTTGGGCTACACATTTTTGTATATGCCTGAAGGCATATGCCTTCATGCAGGTGTAGTTGCTTATTTATACCAAACAATATAGAGCTGCTGCATCAGCATTTTTCCAGCTTGATGGAAATTGATGTCTTTGTTTTAAGGGCCCTCACAATGATGAACGTTCTATGAACCTGGCCGTTATGTCGCTGGTTTTTGAGATGTACGTCAAGGCTGATCCGGTCTGAAACGGGCAGTTCAAAACCGTATTCCCATGGGGAATCTTCATCTCTTTGCCGATTCTCTAATCTCGTTTAGGCTTCATCAAAGCACTTTGATGATGAACTGAAGCTTCAGGTTACTGATTAATCGAAATGGTTTTGACAACAAATGGCAGCGACTGCCTTTTTTTTTTTTTTTTGGGACGGTCAATCCAGCACCACTGTGATTTCCTCCAATGGTTCCTTTGCGCTATCTGTCAAGCACGCACGGATGAACACAACTAGATGCTGATTCAATATATCTTGTAAAAAGTTGAGGTGAGTTTGAAATCATTCTGAACGGTGTGGGAATAATGTGTCTACTTCTCTCTAAATGAGCTACACGTTGTGAGCCGGCAGCGGTAATTGTGTCTTAGATGTCTCTCCCATTCTGTGAAAGTGAAAGTGCAAATTATCTTCCAACCCAAAACTTATAAGTGAATGGTTCAAAAAGCTAAAGAGCTGGGGGGTTTTTGTTCCCTTCAGAGTTTTTGACAATTAAAATAGACAAAAAAAAATAAAAAAGCAACAAAACTGCATGTCATATTTCATCCATCTGATCACGCTTGCTGGAGAGAAGCGTCTTTACATTTTTTGTAATTATTTTTATTTAAGAAATAAACAACAAAAAAACAACACAAAGAAAACCAACACTGAAATGTATACAGCATTTTTAAAATGTGCAGTAAGTAGCACAGCGCGGTCGATATGACGTGCCTGATGTCAGGTCGCTGTTTTCAGAAAAAAATCAAATCGTGGAGTTATTGTGGCAGTTCTGTCAAGAAAGCTTGATTCTAGCAACGGTTATTTAAACGTCAGGATAGATGTCCCACCCCACCCAGTTGTTCGCCTCGTTAAGCGCAGTCATTGTGTGTAGCTGTAACTGCAGTTGTGCGTATTCCCCATTAAACCCACAGAGCCACTCATACTCGCGCACGTCTTCCGGCGCCTTTGTTGCTTGGCAACATGCTGCTGACATGCTTGACTTGTGGAAAATATGGAGCGTTAAATGTAAGGCGCATCTGGCTCGGGAAGCTCTCACATTGCGTTGTGTGTCTGTATCGAACTTGTTCCAAGATTTTCTCTAAAAATCATGCGGGGGCAAAATTGGAGCCTATCCCAAATTTGATTGAAATACTGAATAACATTATACAGCAGATTTAAATATCGGGAGAAGAAGGAAGAACAAGATTACATCAGTCAAGTTTTGGATGAACCTGCAATTTTCATATTTGTTTTTTTTTCCCCCCACATGTTGAAGTAATGAGGTTTTATCTTGAATGACACTTAATTGCCATTGATGCGTAATCGTGACTTGTGAAACAGTTGACAGCATTTATTTGTTGATGAGAGCTTTCCTTCATTTTCTCTCAGGCTGTATCGAAGTAGATTAGAGCCTTTTAGCAATTCTTACCACGAAACGGCATCAGTGACTCCATTACCGCCATGTTTGCAGCATATCACCTTGGACAGCTACATCCCGTGTCTGACGGATCTCTGCAAGGCATTGTGGGAGGTGATGCTGAGTTACCACCGCACGATGCAGTGGCACGAGGCCCACGACAAGCAAGCCGCCGCGCCCGCTCCAGGTACTGCCCGATGCCTACGCCACCTTATGTTTCATTTTTATGTACAGCGTTTTGAAGTCGAGACTTGCTCAACATTCCCAAACTGGACACAAGCGATCTCAACATTCATTTGGTATTTTCGCAGCTAGAAATTGTCGTTCGTGCTTCATGGGTGTGAACACAGCCGATGATATCAAGTTGGCTGCTCTAAAGTAGACTCCAAGAGACCGTCTTGCACCCCCAAGTCCTTTGGATATTTCATTAAATGCCAACTTCTCTGTGAAGGAAAGGACATGAGCCTCGTTTCCTGCCAAGAGTGCCATCAATCATCTCTATGGTTGATTGGCTTTCACCTCTGTGTAAAGGTGTCCCTGGCCGTAGCTTTTGTCTTGCATTAGAGGCTCTCCGAGTATGCGCGTGGCCTGTCGCTGCAGTGATTTACTGTGCATGGGCCGTCTCATTTGTTCGACAGGATTTTGAGGTGACTTTGACCTCCAGCTCACACTAGAGCAGTGGTTCTTAACCTTGTTGGAGGTACTGAACCCAACCAGTTCAAATGCACATTCATCGAACCCTTCATGAGTGAAAAATAAAAATAAGATTTATTTATTTATTTTTACAAATTCCAAACATATTGAAACGCATTTATTAAAAAGAGGTAAAAAAGTCAATAAAATTTCAAGACAAAAGTATCACTTTTTAAAAACAAACCGTGCATGACGTACTATCACGACAGTCACACGTTGACGACTGAGCGAACTAAATTTCTCGCAGCACTGATTGGACAAGCAATGTCATGTGATCATCTGCAGCCAGTGATGGCCCAAACTAATTGACTTGTTGACTCGGGTGTGTCTTAACCTCCATGGCAGAGGCTCCGTCGAACCCCTGAGACCAATTCACCGAACCCCTGGTGTTCGAGCCAACCCAGGTTAAGAACCACTGCACTAGAGGCCAGAACAGCCAAGCCTGCTTATAGATCGTTTCCTCCTCCAGCGTCCGTCGTCTTTCGTCTAACTCTGGCACTGAATATCTTGAGTCGCTCTGTAACGTTTCACTCAGTAATCTTCTCCCTCGATGAAAGGACAGCTTTTCACTTTCTCTCTGTGTTGGTGTTTCTTGAATTGCAATATGTTCGATTTTTCTAATTTGGCCCCAACGGCTATTGTGACGATTGCCACTTCAAACTTTAAATTGCGCTTTGATCTGAGAATGCATGAGAAAATTAAACTGATTTCCAGTCGGACACATTATGAGCTTCGGAATCTGACCACATGGACTTATACCTGCAGTCGCCGTCGATGTACAAGTTCTACCGCACGTTGCGTCCCATACGTATACGTCAACATTTTTTTTTTTAAAATAGTAATTGACTTTTGTTGACATCTCCATAAATATTGCCACACTGCCATTATTATTACCATCATTAGTCATGATAAATGGCAGTGCAGATGACATGAAGCGATGGGGACGTCTGTAATTTGCAGTTGATTCATGCACATAGTGAGTGGCAGCCCTACCTAAACATGGAAAAAAACACATTACTCTTTGTCTCATTTGTTTCTATAATGATTGCAATCACAGGTCAAGGAGAGGAGAAGGAGGTGGAGGAGAATTTGATGTTCACAGAAATCGACGAGATTATTGTTGTTGGGAGTTTTTTTTTTGCGGTATTTCTTAAATCACGTAATCATCGCCAGGAATTGGTCATTATCATTAGCTCGGCGGGATGAAGTAGACATAGCTGTGGAATGATCACCAGTAGCCACCTGTTGCGCTAGCTAAAACCACATATTTGGTTACCTTAATGGAAACACTGAAGAGAACGAAAAAATTTGATTTGTACGGATTATGACTGAGAAATGCGGAATGGCACAAATTTAACAGATTTGATGTTAAATTGTTTCATTTAATCCAGGAAGTTGTTCCACCAGATATGATTCCTCTTGAGACCCCCCAACTTCCCCGCCCACTTCTCTTCAAATATGTTTCTACATGAGAGAAGTTGGTTTTAATTCTTCTATATTAGTGAGAGTGAGCGAGAGACAAACAACAAAAATCGGATTTCACTGTATAACGGCAAGGGTTTTATTGCAAACAATTTACCAACACATTTCACAATGACCTGCTTATTAGTGGCCCAATTGATTTTGTGTGTGTGTGTGTGTGTGTGTGTGTGTGTGTGTGTGTGTGTGTGTGTGTGTGTATTGATGTGAAAGAACAACCTCAAAGGCTCTGTTGGTTTCCTGCAGGCTTTGACAAATCCATACTCGCTGATCCTTACTGAACCGAGGTTTCGCCGTGTTTCTTTTGTCCGCAAGTTTCTTTGTCTATTGGAAATGACCTTGACAGACCCATCCACCGATCCCCTCATCAATCACTCTTGCTTCTCGCTCTCCATCCCGAATGTACTCAGCCAACGTGAGGTGGTGGGCCAAGTGAAGAATTTGGTTTCGCTGCACCACCTCACAACGAAGACAGACTTACTCTGCGGTGACTGTCATCCACTGTTGAGCACTGCAGGCTGGAAGAATTTACCCAACGCTCCCCTCCGTCGCTGATTGACGGCTATCTTCGGTGATAGCGCAATTCAAATTGTGACTCCTTTTGCTCTCTGAAAGTTTCAATGATTTCATACTTGAATGCACAGGAAGAAATAGGAAGTTTGTTTTGTTTCTCAGCCTTTCTCTATTCTCTTTTTAAATGCGTAGAGGACGCAGCGTCGACAGAGTCCGATGAGTTGGCGATAGACCGCAGCTATGTCAAGAAGAAGCTGGAGCACGGACTCACACGGATCTGGCAGGTTCGCCTCTGATTCTCTTCAGACGTTTACCGTTATCATTTCTGTCCCAATAAAATTGACCATTTGCTCTCGTTTTCATCAGGATGTCCAGTTAAAGGTGAAAGCCTACATCCTGGGGACCGACATGTCCAACTTCAAATATGACGACTTCATTGTGGTATTGGATGTCATCAGCAGGTATTGTTTCATGCCAGTGCAGGTAGCTATTGCTTGCTAATGATTTGGGTTTCATCATGACCGTACCCCAGCGGAGGAACGAAGCATTCATTTGATTCATTCAACTGCCCCCCACTACCCACGCCCACTCAGAACATTGCTCGCAATTTGTAGTATTTCGGAGCTCACCTCATAAGTAGTTTCAAAACATACCTAGAACCCGATCACAACAACCCGCCGCTTTGTTTTTAAGGATCTTCAACCAAATAAGATTCCCGTCAAGAGAAATTTCCGTTTAATAGCTCACGCATGTTCATTTAACTCTCTGCATTCTCTCCCTAGGCTGATGCAGGTTGGTGAGGAGTTCTGTAGCAGTAAATCTGAGGTCCTGCAAGAGTCCATCAAACGCCAGAGTGTCAACTACTTTAAAAACTATCACAGGTAGGATTGCGGTTCCTGCAAGGACAAACAAGGCTGTCGAGGTGATCCCCAGGGTGCATATTGCAGGAGAAAACAATTGATATTCGCATGAGCTGGACTCTCAGTGAATGTTTATTTTCAGCTTTTGACACGTTTCCTTTCCCCCTTTTGCATGGCCTCAAAAGTGCATTGTAAAGAGCCTTGAGATAATTGGAAAATTATCATCACTTCAAAAAAAAAATTTTTTTTAATTTGCGCTCCAGTCAGGGCTTTATCTATTTGGACTGTGAAGGCTGTTCAAACTTTTCGAAAAAAAGCTATGACTCATTCCTTTCATTCTACTTTCTTTTACAATTTCTCAGGGCACGGCTGGAGGAGCTGCGTATGTTTCTCGAGAATGAAACATGGGAACTTTGCCCCGTCAAATCCAACTTCAATATCTCCCAGCTCCACGTGAGTTGAACTCTTTCCTTGTCATCTAGTGCCGATGACAAACCCTGCTAGGTTTTAAAGAAGGAAAAAGAAACCGGTGTCGCGGTTAATGCCTTTGCACGGGTCGTTCAGCAAAATCAGAATCAGAGGAATTTGTGATCAATTATGTATGTAAGACAAAAAGACGAGACAATTAAAAAGGGAGGTAATCTGCAGTATTCATTAAGAGAGTCGCTTTTTAAAACATTATTTTCAGTTTGGACTTGTCTCAATGCTTCAAAACTTTTTTTTTTTTTTTTTCCACCCCTCCATTTCACACCTTCCATAAACCAGGAGTTCAAGTTCATGGACCAGTGTCGCTCCCCTCCGCTTTCCCCAAGCCGACAGGGTGCATCCTCCGCCATCCAAATCCAAGAGCAACTTTGTCTGTTCCAGCAATACCTGCAAGACGGAAACCCTTTTGAGATGCACATTGAGCAAAAAGAGGAAGAGACAGAGGATGTGCTGGCATCGAATGGGGTGAGTGCCCAAACGTCACTCAGCCCAAACGCTTGCGTTATATCATTTGAACAAAACCTCTTGGCTATCATCAATACTTCAAATGATGTACATTATTTATGTGTCATGTGATTGTTCATTAGGTACAGTATATACATTAGATAGACATTTGTTGACATCTTACAGCGTCTGCCCTCTGATTGAGTCAAGTCAACATCAGCGCGATGCCGATGACTAATGAATGAGCTACCTGTTGAGATACACCGCTGCGTTTGTAAAGAGACAAGTTGATTAATTGTCACACAGTCACCGAGGGGGCTTCGCATCAGCCCCCATCCGCCCTATTGAAATTTTAAATGACATGCGTGTTGCAGCCGTTTCGTATTCTGTCAACAGACAAAGCGTTTCTGCTTTGCCGGCCAAGAAACTCATGAGCTAGAAGTGAAGTGAACTTCATTGTCGTCGTCGTATGGATATGTACCACATTTCCATGATGAGGACGGCAAAGACGCTGTATGGTGATATTGAACCGTATGTGACGGCCGGACAGAGCAGTTGTCCTTCAGTGTACGACACGTTCAAAGTGATTGCGACACAAAAGAGCCGGTACACGGTTGGAGTGATTGGTTCCTTGTACGCTCTCTCTCAGCCCAAGAAGAGTTGGCCTCTTGTGTTTGCGCTCATATATCACACTAATAGAGGTGCACGGGTCCAGTGTGCGCAATTTTCTACCGTCTCCTAAAAAAAAAAAAAAAAAAAAAAAAAGCATTCAGTTGTGCCGTCAAGGTCTATTTGTGAATGATACCACATTTCTCTTTGTATTACACTGGTTATTTTTAAATGGCTATATTATCCTTTTTAAAGCCATATTGCCTTATCTAATATGTCAGGCTTTCACAGCCCAAGCGTTCCTTGTGCATAAGCCTGTAAGACTCGAGCTGTTGTGATGCCGGAGCTTGCGGTGAAGGAGGACAAAAAAAAAAATGAATACCAGTATATCAAATTATTTCTGGTAAGCTGTGACCAAATTCTTATCTGGAAGGTGTTTCCTTTCATGGCTATGTTCTCAAAAGGCTAGAAGCTTCTCATTTTTGCAGTTGTATGTCACCAGGACATATGAGTTGTAATTACATTTAGTAAATTACGAGTCACGGCAGAAGTTTGTGTTTTCATCCTTTTCACTACCGAAGAGAAAACCTTGAAAATTTCCATGTCCATTGAATTACAATATGGTCATCCATATCCAATGCGGTTCTACGTTACAAGTCTTAAAAGTGTTATTCCTTCAGAGCTCCTTCTCGACAGTAGGTTCCACTTGTGTATTTTTCTATTTGGCCTTACTCCCGATCCTTCTTTTTTTTTTGTGTCCCATTCGTTTTGCCCTTTTCAAAGTACGAGTCCGACGAGCTGGAGAAGAGCACTTATCACGATTACGACAGCGACAGTGACGTCCCCGAGGAGCTCAAGCAGGACTACGTTGACGAGCAGACGGGAGATGTGCCCCTCAAGAGGTCAGTTGCACATAGGACGCACGAGGGGGCCGCGAGTGGAGTTTCACAATAGGTTCATGTGTTATCCTTTCCGCTCCCAGGTATTACTTTCGCTCAAAAAATGAAATGATCGAATTCACCCATGACTATAATGAGGGTAAGCGGTTTAGAAAATGGATAGATTTGTTATTTCAAGTCTGCAAGTCACCCACTACTTTTTTTTTTTTTTTTTTTTAACATGCTCTATGGCTATTTTTCGCTCACTTCCTTTTAACTGTGCGCTGTAGGCTTCCCGTGAATGAAATCATGAAATATTCTCTTTCTTTCCACATTGGTGATTATAGAGCAATTACTGCAGTTGCTATTAAGCGCCGCCAAGATCAATTGACTAGTCTGACCAAATCCGGCGACGGCTAATTTTATGATCATTGTGTATGGCGGGTCGCATGCTGGAGTGGCCGCATGGAACTGGAAGATTGCTGCTTTGATTCTACGGCAAGATCAATCCAAGCACGCTATTGTATATATCTTATTAACTTTGATGGCATCCTTACAAAAGCAGCTCTTGTATTGGACCTCCTTATTGTGCAAATGCATATTAGGTGAGGGCCAGTGACTTGAAAGTACATTTTTCTTTTGATGCAACATTGAATCGCGCAGTGTTTTCACAAAATTACACAGCGAACAAAACGTGCAATACTATTACTTATTCAGGAGCTTGCCAGTTCAGAGGCATTGTTATGGTACGTTATATTGAAAACGCCCTGTCACGTGATGCAAACTTGCGTATTAATTGCACCATTATGTATGCACTCGGAGTTGAATCTCATTCTTTCACAGGTCTGACACACTGCCTCTTTTGCCCAGGCGCTCACCATCACTTAACCCCTTTCCAGTTTCCATCGCGTGCATTGGCCTAAAGCTCCCAAAATGCTAATATCCCATTATTTTAAGCCGTACTACCTAATGGCTCATTATGAACTGGGCCACGTGGTCACGTCCAGTAATTAAATGCCCTATGTCATGATTGCTGGTTAATGTAGCTCAATGACAGGTGTCAGGGGTCCAGTTCATCGTGCTCACCGGTGCAGTGACCTCACCGTACGGGTCCTTCTTTGTCGCCGGCATTGTATAATGGGTACTGATGGATCAATTAGAACAATTTCCACCCCCGCTGAGGTTGTTGTCCGGCTCTTTTGCAACGGAGTAATAACCTATTTTGTTCATGTCACGTCTCCTTTCTGTCACAGTGTGTCTCGCGAGACCATACGAAGCAAGAAGAGGTCAGATTATAACCTGAATAAAACCAATGCCCCGATCCTTACCAACACGACTCTAAATGTCATCCGGCTTGTCGGTGAGTCCCTTTTGTGCAAACGTACACATACTACATAGTCTTTGCCCTTAACTCTGCCCTTGCACTTCTTAAGGGGTACCTCGACGTCCGTGTGACATTACATCGACGAGCCTCCTGGGATATAATTTATCGTAATTTCACACTTTGAATCTCCAGCAACTTTCCACCAGATGTTGGAATATGTGCTGGTGGGATATTTTTGCCACTACGTACATAAACAATGCTGTATGCTCTTGGTTGTTGCTGGAATAGAAAAGGGCTTTCCTCAAAATGTTACCACAAAGTTGAAAGTATCTATTCTCGGTGACCTGAAGCTTTCAGATGCAATTAAACTTATCTCAATCGCGATGATGTTAAAAAAAAAAAAAAAAAAAAATGCCCAAGGTTTTCCTAACTCCACTACTTTCTAACCGCTGATGTCTTGTCCCGTCAGGGAAATACATGCAGATGATGAACATTCTGAAGCCGATTGCCTTCGACGTCATCCACTGCGTGTCGCAGCTCTTTGACTACTACCTCTATGCCGTTTACGCCTTCTTTGGACGAAATGACATGGTACGGCATTATAGTGATTCCTCTTTTTTTTTTTTTCTTCAGTCAGTTCTCAGCGGTCGGGAACACGCGCAGGGAGAGGTTGCGTCAACAGAATATTATGCACCGCTGACTGAGATTTAGACAGAGTAACCTAAAGGCTCTTCCTCATTTTGACAGATTATTTTGCCGTAACAGCAATAGGAGCCCCGCTGGGAGTTGAATTCTTGCAGTCGAGAGAAAATTCCCCTCCCGGTCTTGTAGATTTATGATCTCACGGGTGAATCGTTCCCTTATTCCGAAACTCGCTCACCCAGTCTGCATTTTGGCTCAGTGCACGGGTTTTGACTTAGGAACAAAATTCAAATGGGTCCGGTAACAAGCAATTGGCTTATCTCTGTGCATATTCCATCGGAATGAAAGGTTGCAGCCTAGCGCCGACTCAGCCCAGCCGCGTCTTGCTAAACTATGCTCCACAATGAAACAAAACACATTTGTTGTACCGTCACCCTCCTGTCATGGTAGCAAGAGGAAAATGGTGACTTCTATCCCACTGAGTTGAAAGAGATAAAGAGGATGAACGCTCCTCACGGTCTGCTGTAATAGAAATTCTTAACGCTTGCATGCGCGTGGCACGCCGAGGTAAACGAGGCTCACGTGCGAGTCGCATCTTCAAACTTCTTTGTCCGTCTTCCACCCACTGCGACACATTATTTGTATGATCATCTGCCATCTTTGAGTAAGATTTTATGAACCATCCCATTGCATCAATGGTCTCACTTAAAGAGGCACGTACAGTAAAATGCAAATCGCTCCATGAATCTTTCAAAAGCCCTTATGCGATGCACACATGCCGCAGTTTTGACCCAGGAATTGCTCTTTTTGCTCTGCCAAGATGGATCCGCTTGACTTTTCCCGTTGAAAAGTCAAGACTGATTCATATTCCAAAGGGGTAAATACCCCCAGTATGTGTTTATATTGGTTGAACCAAGTCTGTCACACGTAGGTTCAAGATGCATTATTTTCACAGAACAGACTTCATAAATAATCAGGCGTTCATCTGTTTGGACTTAGCGCAAAGACGATTTTGGACTCCGCATTTCAGACTTGGATGCGTCACTAAAATATCTCTTTTGGAGAGAGACAAATTCGAGCCTAAGCAGAGTCATGGGTGTGTACTGCGCAGATAGAGACGGCAAATAACTGAATCCGACGCTGTTGCTCCAATGGTAGAGATCCCAAAAAAACGAGCACTTCAGAACGAAGACTTGGAATAAACTCCTGAACTTAAGCGATTTAATATACAGTCGATTTGTTGTGTAACTCCTGAAAAACCTTGAATGTATTATCTTTAGGCTTTCCTGGATGTAACGGAGCAGGATTCCACGCTTACTTCTTGGGCCTTGTTAAATAACAGCTTATATATTTAAAAAAAAAAAAAAAAAGGGAAACATTTTATGGTTATTTTTAAGGTGAGACTAAACCATTTCAATCTTTTTCTAGAATTATTTTGTTGGGCCACATCAACTTCTTAATTGGTCTGACAAAGTATGTCCGAGGCTTCAAAAGGTTTTTCAAACGAGCCAAACTGTACCAGGCAAGTGCCACAATGACTCAGTATTCTCCGTCAAGTTTTTCTTTTCACGGTTCGTGCCCTGTTTTAATGATCACCGCACGTAACGTCACTTAGTTAACTGACTGTCACAGTCTTTTTATTTTTTTTTTGGTGATTGTCAGTTCGATGGCACATTAAAATTTAAACTCCTCCATTTAATTCCCTTTGGAGTGGTTTCAGATTTTTTGGGGGGTAGTTCTGACTTTTCATCCTCACTGTTTTAATTTTCCTGTCTTTTTCCCTCGCCCCGTTTCTGTGGTCCTTATGTCATCTATAGCCTGTCCCAAGCCCATCTTTGCCCGCTCATGGTGGCAGAGAGTCGGGTACAGCCCGAGTGGTGGGCCCGGCTTGTTTGGTAAGAGTAGAATGAGGCCTGCCTTGCGAATTCCATGCCCTAGTCAGCACTTGTGTGATGATTTGAAGGTGTGCCTGATCTGCTTCCTCGACTGACTGCCAAGTGCATCTGAAAGTAACTTCACAGGCGTTTGACTTTTTTTTTTTTTCTGTAGTGCTTCCAGTCTCTCCACCCTCTTCTGTCCTCTGCGTTAGTTTGTGTGAATGTTTTATTTTGATGTGCGCCCCTTACAGTTAGTTACCCCTCTCCCTGTCGAAAGAGGATCCGCTTGAAACCCAACGTAAGGATTCTCTTGTCTCGGAGAACATGAGATGAGCGCGGATGCGTATGCGTGTGGCATGCTTTCACACTCTCCTGAAGTGTGCGCTCTCATACAGGAAGTTGTTGCTGACACTAACGTGTGTGTGTGTGTGTGTGTGTGTGTGTGTGTGTGTGTGTGTGTGTGTGTGTGTGTGTGTGTGTGTGTGTGTGTGTGCGCGCGCGTGCGCGCGTGCGTGCGTGCGTGCGTGTGTGTGTGTGTATTTCACAGTATGAATCATCGGGTCTGGGCCTGATCAGCAGCAGACTGCGAACCACACTGAACCGGATCCAGGAGAGCCTCATTGACATGGTACGACTGCAGTACACCATCTCCTCACTCTCATGCTTCCTCTTTTTCCTGCTTTACAATTGCTCATTACCTCATTGCCGGGCTCATTTTCTGACACAAACATGCTCTCTCCTCTATGGCCTCTCCATTTCTCTCCTTTTAATGCTTTTTTTCCCTCCACCCCCCCTCTATTCTCTTTCACCGTCGCGGTCGTATGTGCGGCCTTATTGCCGAGAGAGCCCGCAGCTTATGTTGCCACCAAATACATTACGGGTCGTCATTAGGTGGCCACCGGTCACTCACACACACATACCTTCCTCTCTCTAAGTGACCAGGGCTGGCTGGATTCGTACGTGTTGTTCCATTAGGGCCTTCAATGATGACAATTAGTCTGATGCTAGCCGTACTCTCATGATGCCCGAGCGCCCCCCCCCCTCCCCCCACTCCCCCCTGCAGCCTGGCTCGTCTGATCCATGATGATCCCAAAGCCGTCTTGTTCACTTCTGCTTTTCGGTTGTCTCCATTTTCCGGGTTTTAATCTGGCTGTGTCTCCATTGCCGCCCGAAGTTTTGTTTCTCCACAGCAAAATAGAAACTTTTGATGACATTGTTAGCTTGGTTCTCGAATCGGTCTCCTCTGTGCTGTAAGAGTTGATGCACATGAAGTTCACTCTGCCTCTTCGTTGTGAATATGTTTTGAAAAATGTTCCAAACTGGAATTACCTTTTTTTTCCGCCTTGTGTAAATCTATGCCAGTGTGTTGTTGTATTCAAAATAGAAGTAGTGTATGTGTTGTGTTAAAAAACACATAATTTACTTTGACCAAAATTCCCTGCACGCATGCTGAAATATTAAACGTGGAAGGATCCTGCAGAGGCAAGCTGAAAAAAAAAACAAAAAAACAACATAAATTTGACAGTGCAGCACAATGGCATGTTGCTGTTTTAGCAATGTGGGCTTCTTCGCTGCAAAGTTCAAAGCTTCAAGGATGCCCCTGAGGAGGAGGCTGTACAAAAACAAAAAAAAAGTTAAAATGGCTGAATAAATAAAACGGAGGGAAAACGAGTGTAATGTGAAGAAGCATACAAGCTGTACACAGACTTTGCTGAGATTTTCACACGATCTTGAAAACTGATAAAAGACTAAAATCTTCAGAACAGAATTTAATTGGGAATTTCTCCATTGCGAGACTAATAAAAAAAAAAAAAGTTTTCTTCTTAAGTTTCAGTCATTTAAAGTGTGATGGGAAATTACATAAGAACATCAAAGCTTACAGTGAACCCCAAACCTTTTGGAGAGCTTTTGAGTACAAATAACGTTTGACTGTTTGGGAATGCCGCAGCCGTGCTGAGAAGGGAATTGTCGCAGATGAAGAGATTTCTTCGAGTGCCACTGAGCTCTCGGCGGGCACTAAACAAGTCTTCTGAGTGCACCGAAGGCCGACGAACATTTGCGAGCAAACTATTGAGTGCCAACAATCGGGAATGCTCTCAAGAAAAATCACATGATCGCAACGTAAATGATTTCTTGATTCCAGTTTTATTTGGCACGTACTCAGGTTGAGCACGAATTGTCCTTTATGTAGTGCAGGTGATTTTGCTTCCACCCAACCGCGGCTGAGTCCACAGGCGCAGTCTCGCACTTGCATGCAAATGCGAAACACTTCGTACTCCGGAGAGTGGGCAGGTTGGACCTCATTTGTAAACAGATTCTCGAGTTAATTAGACACGGCGTTTCAATCGAGCTGTCAAATCCTTGCGGTTACGCTCCCGCGATTTGACGTCGCGGCGGTTTGATTCTAAAGCCAGCGTGCTGGTAATGACTCAGAGTCCCACATGAGAGGTACCATCTCATTTCATCTCAGGTACGGAGTGGACTCGCCTTCAATTGGAAGATCCGCAGGGGGGGGGGGGGGGGGGGGGGAAAAAA